ACCGGACGTGCGACCGGTTAGTAATACTTTACTTAGCGTAAAGCAGCATAGAGAGATGATTAGAGGGGACAGCAAAGAAGAGGTATTATCAGTGCGAAACACATGCGACTGTGTATTACATTTCCAGTTAGTCACAAAGGCCAGCCGGTCACGCGATGGACTATCCATCGCGTGACCATCGATGGACTATCCATCGCGTGAAAAAAAAAAACAGTACGTTCGAAGTTATAGCGATCACAGAAAGGTCATGTATGTACTCTCGTCTCTTGTTTGTTAGTAGATTCATGAATTGGTGTGTTTGACATTACGTTAAAGAAATAGCAGTACGGTATCTGGAATTTCACGTCCCGAAACCAGGACGTGAGATGCCGTAGTGGAGGGCTCTGGAAAATTTTAGCAGGACGTGTTCTTAAACGTGCACTGACATCACACAGTGCACGGGCCTCTGGCATTTCGCCTGCATTGAAATGCGACAGGGATCGAACCCGTGACCTTTTGTATAATAACAGTGCACATACATGTGCGATTCACCCTATATTTCTATCCGAGAGTAGCGTCAATACAGGTGGTTCAGTGCACCCGTACCTCATGCGTTGCATACGTACTACGTAAGCAGTACTGGCATAGTTCGGCAATTCAGCTAATGCTTATAATCCCTCTTTATCTCCTACTTTTGACGATAGTAGACAAATTTACACCTTTGAGCGGGTTTTCCCGTGCCTATAACACACCCCTTTGCCCTTTTAGAAAAAGGGCATTTTCACGGATCAAAGCGTGGGCTGTTGCCAGCTGCCTAAACATCCTTGTCACACACACAAAAAAAGTGAAAAATGAAGTCTACCATCAGTCAGGGAACATGCAATTACAGATGGTATCAGCATGGAAGATGCGTGTACGCACTGGACCGTACACACAGCATTTAAGATATGGCACAATACCCCATGAACGGAGCATTCACGCTGAATCACCTGACACTGCCCATCTGGTATGTGCGTATACATCCGTAGCATCTGAAGCCACCGAGCAGTTCCGATGAGAATGATCCTCTTCCGTAGAAATGAATATTAGCATTAATAGAATAGGCGTTAATTTATGGTGTGCGTGTAGATGGTCTTAAAAGATACGGATCTTATAATCTAAGCTCGCCTTACATCCAACAGCTTTTTAATCAGTGAGTCCCACTTATCATCTGGCATGCTGTCGTATGGGCCACGGGTGTTTCGAAAACTCGGTAACACCCGAGTTCCTAATGGGTGTTTCAGTTAAAACATCTCCCGTCAAATGCTGTTTGAGGAAGAAAAACGCCCTTACCCCCTAATTCTTTTGAAATTTTGGTTAAACAAAGGGGTGTTTTGCTTGCCTGAAACCACTTTAAGGGTGCGAAATGGTTTACGTGCAGTGTACGGACGTAGGAACTGAAAACGGTCGTTCAGTCTGCGCTCCTTACGTTCGATTCGCATTGTGCTGCGTACCGCACAGTGATAAGTTATCTTTGCGAGCCGGCGCATTATATCTTTCCACTTCACATCTCCCCTTCCACCCCACCACGCAACTTCCTGGAAATCGACTTTACTCAGTCGAGCCTCTCCTTTCGATGCTTCCACAAAGAATATGCAAAAACATGTGGTGGGCATGAGTACTTTCGTTCAAATACGTGACGAATCTGTAGTGGAGCTGTAGATTAAAATAGTTTAGTATATATTAGAGAGGTCAGTCTTACCGTCAACAGTTGCATGGTCTAGCAAGCAGGGCGCAAATACGAAGCACGAGTGGCTGTGGCCATTTTGGTGATCGCACTCACTTCTTGACGTCACAACTTTTCGCAGCTCTCGCTACAGCCTGTAATCAGTTTCAGGAAACAAAATCAGGAAACAAGTAAGGAAATCGGGACACAAAAATAAAATAAAAAGTCATGACCCGCTTCGAATACGAAGAAACATAACATAATGGTGTCAGCATTTGCAGAACCTTTAGAGCAAAGGAGATAAAAGCAGGAAGGGTAGGGGAATCATAAAATTTATGATGACGCCACAATGAGCACCGCTGTTTCAGCGCTATATTTGAAACTATTAGTTCATCGTTTACTTTGCCGATTGTTATAAAGCGCTGAAATAATGAAATGGTTGAAAGGCTGAAGGAAAGCTGATAAGGTGCACACAGAACTACTGTACTATCAAGTATGATAGGCTTCGAGCATACTTTTTAATGCGGTTAAGTGTTTCATATCAAGTGTTTGTTATACGGCATATGTACTGGCCCAAAATGTTTAAGTCGATCTTTGTTTATTCGTTAGCTACTAGTTAGCCCAGATTAGGCTTTGTATCAATATTAGATCCATTGGACGAGAAGTAAGAGCCGGAACTAGCTAAAACTCAAATAGATGCAATGCGATTTTATGCACATTTTTGTTTACTTTTACACCTTTCTTATTCACTGCGTTCGAAAAATGGTCGCGGTTTCTAGAGAATTTTCCAACCGTACTTAAGCGTGCATCATATCATTTGTGTACTTCAGGGAACCCGCTTCACTGCGACTGCCGCATCAAGTTCCTGCTGAGCTACTCGGACAACTGGCGGTTCCCGGTGTGCGCCACGCCCGAGTTGCTCAAGGGCCGCCGGATCAACGAACTGAGCGAGGACCTTCTCAACTGTTCGACGCCTTCGACCACGACCACGACAACACCCGCTGCCGCTGTTCCGGGAGGCTTCTTTCCGTTCTACAGCGACGACGTTTGAACGCACTTACGGCGACGACATTGGCAGAACACTCCAGGAACGAGACAGACAAAGGAATAAAACATCGTCCATCTGGCGGGCCAACCAGTGACGTTGTCTTTTGTCCGCTTAAGGACTGGACTTCTCATGTTATACATGTACGGCGATTGCAGACCTGATAGGAAGGGGGGGGGGGGGGGAGCGAGAGAAGAAAGACGAATGAACAGGTAGGAGGTTTGCTTGAATCTGAGCACATGCATTCTATTGTCTCGTACGTTCGGCATCACGCCGCATGAAAAGCTAACCCACAGAGCGCACCCCACTCCCCTGCACACAAGTCACTATACCCAGAGATGGACAGATCAGCACATTACCGCACCTAACCAAAAATCACCTCACCGCCCCTGCACAGCTCTTCAACATAGCAGGAGGCAGCAGTAGATTCCCACTGAACAACAGTAGTCTTTACCACACGAACGTGCTTTGGGAAGAAGCCTTGGCTAACTGCAGCTTTGAGGTTCAGCTGCTGATATAGTGAGGGCTTACGATGCGGTGCGGACTGAAGGCATCCAGGACGAAGGATGCCTCTGCTAAGCTATATTCTCAAATAAAGTCGTTTATTCTCTCTCTTTCTCCATCCACCTTTATCTTTCGGGCTATCTTCAAGAGATCTTTATTTAATTACCAGAATTTCCCTCAGGCATAAAACTGCCCACCAAGTACAACTAACAATCTTTTTTCTTTCTTTTTTTATGCAGTTTTCGAGGCATTGCACTGTGTATGCTAGATATCGCCGAGGTGGTGTTCTGAGTCAATGAGAGACGCAGCAGCTCCACGCGCCAATCAGAGCTGTTTTTTTTTTTTTAATGGCGGATTTCTAGAGCCCCTCTTCAACACATATGTTGTGGGGATGTCTAATATACCAAGGTCCTATGGCGGTTCTTTTGGGAGATCTGCGGGCGCGGTGGCCGGCCGCTCTGCAAAGCTCGCAACTACCAACTTTGGGCCGTCCAGCAAGCCCTCGAAACAGCGCGGGAGCAACAGCTTCAAGATGTGGCGGCCCCTGGCCCGGCCCTTCCATTCACCGGATTTTAAATGAAGTTATTTCATTCACACACTCATTTTTCAGAATGGTGGATTTGGTGCTTAAGATTTTAGTCACATGGATAGCTGTTGTGGGATGAAGTTATTTCACTCACACACTCATTTTTCAGAATGGTGGATTTGGTGCCTAAGATTTTAGTCACGTGACTAGCTGTTGTGTGATCTTATTCTTGGTCACGCGAGTATAGTTATGCGATGTTACAGGATTCTAGTCACGTAGTTCGATCCGCAATGTTACGTGGTCTCTATTCACGCACGCGAGTGTTGTCACAGAACGTTAAGTCCCGTGACAATTTGTTACGTGTATGCCGTTACGAATAAATATATATTGTATTATGCGCGGAACAAATCGGTACACGCGTGTTGTGGAAGCAGAAGTTGGGGAGGACCTTGCAGGGGCGTAGCCAGGGGGTAGCACACACACAAAGCCCGTGCCCTCCCCCCCCCCTCTGAAATATTTTTTCGCCGTGGCATAGGGAGCGCAAAAATGATCATTTAAGGGGGTGCCCTCCCCGAAATCATGGAGATGCCCTCGCCCCCCCCCCCCCCCCGCCCCTGCCGAAAAAAATTCTGGCTACGCACCTGGGGAGGCGAATGAGAAATAAAATTGAGGGACTTCAGACAAGCCCGCATCACGGTTCATGATGATTATGATTCCTGTTCGCACTACCCCGCGCAAAGAAAAGCTTGAAAAGAAATGCGCGGGAAAAAGTGGTGGCGCACGACTGCCCAACAGCTCTACAGGTTGATGGCGTGAAACGGAACGGATATGAGCCTAAGAAACGGGTTAATATGTCATTGGTCTAATTAGTCTATTAGTCCGACGCCAGTAGGTAAACGGGCGCTTTGAGGTCGTTATAGCCCCTGGTTTCTTTTTCTCACCCCACTCTCGAACTCTGACGCCGTTCCGTAGTCAAAGAATACGATCCAGTTTCGGTTTCGCTCCACTTCTTCACAGCGTTGTTCTTGCGTTATTGTGCATCGAGAACCGATAAAAAAAGCAAACCGTGTGGTCCCAAAGAAACCGTGTTTGGTGCCCATAAGTATCTGCATGAAGTTTGACAACTACTACTCACGAGGTCTCTTATTAGCGACGACTCTGCCCATGCTCCTGTACTGATCGACAACGCGCGGAGCCAATGGACACGCCTCTTGTGCGTCTCGCCGCTCGCGACGCTGCAGTCGCTGACGCGAATGCTTGCGAGAAAGGAACAGTCGCCCGTTCATATTTCCTGTGCGTTGCGCTAGTTTGCGAAATACCGACGAGAGGCGCGAACTGCCGCTTCTGTTATCGTGCGAACCTCACGAGCGTGTGAAACATTATTTCTTCGTCGTTTCATGATATCCTTGCACCGGCGAACACCTGCGTATATTGGGGTGAGTAGGCCTCCGAACTTTCCTTGTCGCAAGGGGCAACCCATAACATGTCCATCAAAGTGATTGACAGGCTTTGAACAAATAGCGTAGTTATTTATGTTACACGTCTTAAGACATCGATCGGCGTCACTGCACAGAATGGAATGTACTCGCAGTTTCGAGCTGGGTAGCTGAGTATCCTTTCTCGGTGGCCTTGCAAAGTTTTAGATTAGAAATGACAAGTGATTGGACATTTGAGATTCAGTGCTAGAATGTAGATAGTGCTTTGCCTAGCCTTTAACATGTCTTCGCACCTTTTGCCTTGGCCTGACTCAGTGACATATAATTTGCAATCACGGAGCTTCAAATATAAAATGATGCAGTGACAGTAGTTTCAATCATTGCGCAGCATGTGCCTCGGATGTGCTTTGCTAACTTCCATTTGAAATCGTTTTCCTCGTTGGGGCCATTATTAACCGTGTCTTTGCGAATGCGATTTCATTTGCACATTGTTTTACATCTGACTCCACTTTGTTACAGTCACCATGTCGGGTAGCCCGTACCCTCAGCAGCCACCCCACTTTCTTCAACCTGCTGCTATACCGCTTCCCTATGAACCCCCAGCGAGCCCGGCAAATTCAAGCGCACCTTCGGCCCCGTCTTACCCACTGAATCCTGGGTTTATGCCAGCACCTTTGCCACTACCCGGAATTCAAAATCCTGGGACCATGCCGCTGCCATCACAGCTTCCTGGCCCACAGCCACAGCAGCCCTACATAGGATTTGTACCACAAGGCCAGTTTCCAGCACCACCGCCTCCATATCCAGGACCAGGACAAGCAGACTTAGGCAAGCCACCATCTGGTATGTCTTCAGGTTCTGTGCACCATATACTTAAATGAGGCATTGACTCTAATGCATCTCTAATGCTGCGTGCCAAGGCACTCAACTGTAAGCACCGAAAGCACCAAAGTAGCTACAATGTAATGACCAAGTTTCCTGTAGTAGCATATTCACTGTGTAGTAATTACTCTATGTATTTCTGAATGAAATCCAAGGAAAAGGGGTTGTGTTCTGTAAAATCTCGGTTAAAAAGGTTCAAACTAAACCAGTTTCAAGGGCCGAGGTCTCACTACTTTTTAACGCGAAAGTGTTTTATGCCGGGGCTCACCAAGACTTCAGTGATGTCTTTCTGTCACGGAAGTGGCATTGAAAAAATATGCATGATCAAGAGACAGAAAATAGGTTCCATTTTCGGGAGTTGAACCCGTGACCTCTGGGCCCATGGAAACAGATGCTGGGCACAGTATCCACTGCGCCATGGTCACATATTTTGAACCCTTAAGAAAATACACCTTTTATATCTACCACAGTCCTCTCAGCATTATTCGTCAAGTGCAGTAATGCATCATGACCATGGTATCCGTGATTAGTTCTTTCAGTGCGTCGTCTCTAAGCGTCCATTTCATTCGGCGCATTTATATGCCTCGGTATATGCCTCATCAGGTATATGGAACACTGTTGAGGATGTCCAATGTGCGAGCAAGTACATTGAGTCACTTGGCATGATTTTTTCAATGCTGATGGTTCCTTAAAAGGTTTTTTTCATGCAAGTTAGCAAGAACACTTGGCCCATTTTCACAACTTTGACAGTTTGCCATTGTCGTCGTGTCATGCAAACGTCACTGAAATGCTTGCACCACCACTGGCAGCACTGTTTATTGTATCGCTTTTATAGTCTAGTGTTCCGGAAGCCACCGGTACGAACAGATGAATGCAACTTAGGACGAGCATCGTCAGCATGGCACAGTGCATTAGTCTCTCTCCAATGTAATTAATGCAATTGCACTTGCATGAGAGTGCTGATGTTATTTCAGAACCAGTCTTCAGATGCCTCATCGTGCCCCATAGGCCTGCATCAACTGTACAACTTCAATTCACGAAAGTTGATCCACCTCGTAACACTTCACTCATTGCCAAACAGTGAAGCAAAGATGACTTCTTAGAGGCTGCTTCACAGAGCATTGAATCCTACAGCATGTGGGATTAGCCAGATTGTTTTATTTTCCCATCGGCCGATGTGAATTTGCTGAATTGAGCTAAAGTAAAAGTATATAAAAGGGCTATTTTCAATGCACTTCTAAATCACTTGGTCGAATCTTAGCTCTATGCATGTTCACTTTAGTACTGCACCCTAGATCGGAACACTTGTCGCCATGTTCAACTGCAAGCGGGGAATGTAGCTGAGATAAGATATCATTCTGCTCGTGTGACACTTTTGAGTACTCTCGTAGCAACAGATTGTTTCACTTGCACGAGCCTTTTGTAACTGCGAACTTAAGAGCTCTGCATCACTGATAATCGAATAGTAGCAGTCTAGGAACCAGCCACATGTTTCCTTACTGCATTTATTCGCAGGTGTAATGCAAACCCAGTTTTTCATAGCTTGAAATAGAATGTGCAATACCCTCTACCGTAATGCAAGCCCCATTCAAAGAAAATAAAGAGAAAAATAGAATTCTAGGGGATTTGACGTCCTAAAACCATTATGTGATTATGAGGAACGTAGTGGAGGGTTGTGGGAATTTCGACCACCAGGGGTTCTTTTACGCGCACCTGAATCGAAGTATTTTGCCTCTATTAAAATTTGGCCGTGGCGGCTGCGATTGATCTCGTGACTTTCAGATGAAGAAGGGCAGAAGTAGGTTGTTAAGCATGTGAAATAGTTTGTTACACTATGTAAAGCTTGTATCGATGTAAAGGGTAACACATAACTTGCATTGAAGGCTTTTGATTGTCATTTTTTCTTCTAGTGAAATGAAAACACGCCACATGCATACTTTCTTGAACACGAGGGCTTCTCAACTTAGCGCACGTCAGCAAGTGATGCCTCAACTCTCATATCTGCTGTATTTTATGCTTAAATGTTGGCTGGGCATTGCCTTGTGTACATTGTCGACCCATGTTCCTCGTGCTCTGTCGTGCAGTTTCTTTACATGGCATGTTTTCTTTTTTCTTTTCAGCGATGAGTTCACCTGTTGGCACTATGGGCAGAGACACTGAGCCGGCGCTTGAGCCCTGGAGTGGCTTCTCCAACAAAGAGATCAGGCGCGTCTTTGTTCGAAAGGTTAGTTGGAGGTTTCAGATCATCCAATCTTGAGTTTTGATATTGCACTTCCTTTAACTTTGTTGTCAAGTGTAGGTAGTTTAGACTCATGACGGGCCCGTGAAAAATGGAAGAAGCATGACACAGGCACTGGTTATCGACTGAACGTTTAATGAAGGCTGCGGCATATTTTAAATGACCAAATCTTATCCCGAACCTACCTTCTAACCGCATAAGTTGCAGACACAAGACTTGAGCACCAGCGAGAACAAACTACACAAGTTTCTGCATAATTTTGATATATCGTGAAGCAGATGCCTGTATTTGTATTTAAAATGGATGATATCTATAACATCCTAACCAGCCTTTCCCATTCAAGGTAGCTCTTTGCGATGCTTGGCGTGCGAATCGCATAGCATGGCTAGAGTTTACTTACAAAATGTAGAGCACTTTTTTTGCTAGCCATCTATGATGGCATCATTTTTATGTCTGAGAAAAAAAAGGGGGGGACACAATCACAAGATTATTTATTATCAGCCATCTTTACTAAACATTAGCTCTACAACTTTATGGAGGCAAAACAGCTTGTGGCTTGGATGTCGGGATTGCTAATGTTTTCTCTATGTTGCCTGAAAGTTTACGTATATATTATTGTCACTGCTGGTACAGCATCATGTTTCTACTAGATCCACAGCCATGGTTGACAAAGGACGACTATGGGTAGTTAGTTGCGGTGGTAGTTAATTCTACAGCATGTGGAATCCGCACAATGTGTACATCTAAAAAGAATCTCCATGCTTGTTGTTGCCAGGTGTATGCTATCCTCATGATCCAACTGGCCATCACATTTGGTGCTGTGGCTTTGTTCATATATGAGTAAGTACCAGTGTCTGTCCTGTTTACTCTCTCGACATCTTGTCTTATAATGTAACATGCAGCCAGTGTAATTATTTAGTTTGTCTTCTTTTTTTGTTGCAGACCTCATGTCAAATTATTTGTGCAACGAAATATGGGAGCATACATTGGTGCCTAGTAAGTTCTAGGCTATTTTGTTTTGTGAAGGTTTCTTTGCTGCTACCTTACAGTGCTTGAAAGCATGGATTGCGTATGTACTGGGAACTAGCTGATAACAATGTGCTTTTGGGCTTGTCTTCATGTTTCGCTTTGTATCGTTTCAGTGTGGCATTCATTGTTCTTTACATAATGCTAGTCTGCTGTGAGAGCCTGAGGTAAGCCTTTTTACTGGTACTAAAATCTATCATGTTTACTACGGGCAATATAGTAAAAACTGTGCCTTTCATTTTTCAGGAGGTCGTACCCTACAAATATAATCCTGCTGTTTCTCTTTGTGAGTGCTATTAGCAATTTACCGCAGCCTCATTTCTGGCTATGCATGTGTACACCTGCACTGGTCTACTCATTTACAGGTGTTTCTCTGGGTGATTTGCTTTTTTTTTTTTAATGTTCGACATAAATACTATTTCTAAGGAGTGGGGCTGTAGGTACAAAAGTTGCAAATGACCGTTGAGCATTTTTCTGTTACCTTCAGGGTGTATCATAGTATTGAAGTTACTTGCAGAAGAAATTATCACGTGTGACATAAGCAATACTGAACTATTTCTTTGACATGGCACCAGAAATAGCTGATTGGTTGCTTTATGCATGATGCTGAACATTCAATAATATTACTCCTTGTAATTGCCAATGCAAAGCACTGAAGAAAAATATTAGGACAACTGTTATTTGTGCTCACAAAGAAATGTTCAGCCTGTTCATCTACAGTGCACATTTTCTTATTTATTGCTGTAGAAACATTCCCGTATTTTGTCACTGTTCGTGTAGTTATGGAAATGTAGTTCAGCCAGTTTGAACGTCGCTGTTGACGATGCTTTTGTTTCAGACGCTTGTGATGTCCTACATGGTTGGTGCAATATCGAGGTATGAACTTTGAAAAAATTTTAAACACTGTAACTTTACTCTGTAAGAATGGGTGCAAACAGGTGCAGCGTAGGATATAAGCGATATATATCTTATTAGTGTTGCAATTGCGTAATAGTACAGTGCCCCCTCAGTTTTGGTAAGAATGGCGTACTCTGCGTGTTGGTTTAGCATATTTGAAGTGTAAGGCGCTCTGACGACAGCGGACAGAGGGAGAGTGCATAAACACTCTCTAAGTGCTCTGTGTGTTTGTACTCTGCCTTTGTCTGTTGTCATCACGCCTTGCGTCTTACTTTGTTTTGGCTTTCACTGCTCTTTTCACATCGACACCTTTGAGCTTCATGAAATAAAACCTAATTTACATAATGGCTGTCGTCATCACTTTTTTGCAGTGGGCGGCCCTTGCATGTAATGCAGATAACACCCCGTATGCAAGAAATTCAGCCTTGTGTTCACTCTAGGGCTGATTTCTTTCCAGTTTCCATGATACCGACACCGTGCTCATGGCTGCCGGAATCTGTGCAGCTTGCTGCCTGGCTGTCTCTATTTTCTCCTGCCATACAAAGGCAGGTAGAAATTTTTTTTTAGCTTTCGCAGTGTCTTTACAACTGAAGACCTCCATATTGTGTGTGCATGCCAAACTGCTGTAATTAAGACATGTCTGTCATAATAGTTTTACCTGAACAAAGAACGTAATTCCAAGTGTGACCTAAAAAGCATAATTAAGGCCACCGTAACCAGACCATAAATGACTGATAACCTGCCTGTGTAAACGGCAGTGGTGTTGTGCAGGGTGTGAGGTTGGTCCAGTTGATTTGTCTTAGTAGGTACGATATAGAGAGGGAAAAGTGAGGATGCGAGCAGAATGTTCTGTTCTCCTGGAATTACAGTAAACTCTCAGTAAACGGAACCTGAAGAGACCACCAGGAAAATATGTTCTATTTAACAGGAGTTCGGTTTACTGAGAGTTGAACATGGGTGCAGAATGCGAGCCCGAAACCAAGCATTGCAGAGGCAGTAGTTCCATTTAAGCTGTAGTACCATTTAACAAATTTTCGTTTACTGAGAGTCTACTGTATAGTGCCATACTTAAGCCATGTACTGAAAAAAAGCTTGCAAGTTAACCCTAGCTGGTTCTACTTTGCAACTGGAAACGGTACGCTAGTTGCAATGGTGCCAACTCCGTAGGACAAGTCTCAATTGGAACCAGTGAACAAGACTTGTTTGGAACCATGTATAAATGTACTAATTCCGACTTGATGTTATAAACTACTTGGATTGTTTCGAAATTACTGATGAAAATTATCACAGAGGCTTAGAAGTTGAACGGTTATCAGATTTTCAAGTAACAGTTAAAAAAATAAGCTGGTAGCCGAGTCTTTGCTACAAACTGAAGTAAGCTGTCAATAGTTAGCTCTTTGGTTAGGTTTTTTTTTTTTTTTGTGCATAGTAATGCAGAATCAAGTCATTGCAAAGTGATGGCTTAAGGAAAAAAAATTGGTACTGTATTTTGTCTGTGCATTGTCTCGTTGGCTTTGTTTTAAATCACAGTTTCCATTACCGTAAAAGTGGCAATGTTTCTCTTCTTTTGTCATACCCGAGCCTTTTATTGCCTCATTTTGCTCTTTATACTTTCAGTTTGACTTCACCAGCTGTGCTGGCTTCCTGTTCATTGCTGTTTGGGCCCTGTTTTTGTTTGGCATTCTCACAATCTTCACCTACAACAGGGTAAATGACAATGCACATACATCTCACCTCATGCCTGTCATGTTTGTGTGAAAGAAACATTGTTGGCATGTATCCCAGCTATGGGAAACAGTAAAGTAGGAAACGCTGTCATTGCATTGTGCAAACTTGTGTATAGTTGGCTTTTTTTTTTCCAAATTTTGACAAGGTGCTGCTCTGCATGGGGCTACATCATTCAGTCTTATTTATCCGACTAGGAGTATGAAATATTTCATTACTGGTCTGTATGTGATATCTCACCACCACGAAAGTGAATGCTATTCATACATTTTCGCAAGCTGCACAGTTAGCCACTCGTTTTTGTTTACACTGTCACTTCAACAGAACATCTATGAATTGAGTAGGCATTGGTGAATTCTATTGCCGTATGCTTCTGTATGATTCATAAAAAGGGCCTGCAAAAAACATCTCAGATGGAGGATTCTAGCATGTGCAAGAGTAGTGCAAATAAAGTTTAAGTTGTCAAAAGGCTGGTAATATCCAGCTAGAGTGTTCACAAAAGCTACATCAGAAAATTCTCTTTGGAAAAATTTTGTGGGTGGTCATACCATTGATAAAACTGTGTGTGTAAGAAGTGTGATGCAGCCTAATAGGTGTTGCATGTATGCAGCAGCGGCACAAAACGGGCGCAAACAGGCTTGCTACATTTATACATTTAAAAACTGGGCATGTTTGTTTAAGCACACATTAGTCATTAATCCCTCTAGAAGGACTATAGATTCAGAGATGCATCAAACAAAATGCACTTTCGAAGGACTGAATGGAACGTTCAAGGCACACGAAATAGGCTTCAAGTGCGTGTAGTTTTGTCGAGAATTTTGATGGGACTAGCTTATGTAGGAGTGGTATAGTTGAACATTACCATGGATTACAAAATCCTTTCGTTCTGTTCTAGATCATAAACACGGTGTATGCTGCTCTTGGGGCTATCCTCTTCATGGCAGTGAGTATTCCGAACACAATGTTTTAAGGCACTAAAGCAAATTTGTTCTAAACGTGCCTGAATGATTGGCTAAGCTTTCTGGTAAAGATGGTAAATATGCTGTCATTATCTCTAGGAGCAAGTGTTCTTGCGTTACAAGTCGGAGCGAAACCAAATTTCAGATGGCCTAACAAAGTCATGTTCTTTCATCAATATCTTTCACTCGTGAGCACTACCCAAGTGGACAAACCGAAGAGTATTCGAAGACCACTTCTGCATTGAATTTAGCAATCCGAGGCTGTCACCGACCACATGCCTTCCTTGCCTTTGGTTTATGAGCAAGTACATGCGTAGCAGTGCCGGCGATTGCATATGCCTCATGCAATACCAATGCACTTTATGTTTGGTTTATTAAACCAAGATATACAGCATTGTATTTGTTATGTCATTATCCTCTCAACCCTGACTGGCTTCTTTTTAGATGGCACTGGCCTGTGACACTATCAGACTGTGCTAGCATGTATTTGGAAATCCCATGAAGAAGAATACAATCATGTGAACGTAGACATGTCTCACACAGCTTCTCAGTGGAAGTGCAGTCTGTATACACTATAACTTAACGCAGGGACATCTGACATGAAAATAACTTTGTTATACCCGAAAATTCAATAAAAATCTATACTATTAACACTTCATCTTTGAGAAGACTATTCTTCATTTATTTTGTTATAACCAATATTCGTTATATCCACATTATATCGAGCTTTGAGTATACCCGACCTCCTTGTGCCTTTTCTATTGGCTCTTTGCTGTACCCATGTGAGGACACTGTTTTTTTTCAGTTTCGTTTCTTTCGAACAGATTACTACACTACGACTTCGCCGATTGTATTACTTTTTGCTTTCAATAAATAGAAATTTTCATAGCTTAGTCACACTCTTTACGTAATGCAGCCTTGATACGCAATCTTGTACTCATTCAGTGTTAAAATTTTGGCTGCATGCGATTGGGGAAGGTTTGAGACATATGTTGCATCATTTTACATTTAGCTGCTGCCTTTCCTACAAAACCTGAAGGGACAGACAGTTCGGAACCACAATTGAGGTAGCCCCATTAATGGAAAGATCGACTATTGTATTGGCTGAAATTAACCCCGTTAGCTGAGGGCCTACCGGCACCTGCCGACAAGTTGTAGGAGTGTCTGGCTCGTGATGGGGCCAAGGGACTTATGGCCAACGTATGAAAAACCTTCAAAAATGCTAAAACTGCTGCTTGGGTGAGTCGGTTGATGATTAAGATAGATTTACCAGCGCAAAGATATTGATGCTGATGTCCTTTAATCATTTAAAAAATCGTTAAAAAATATAAAATAGCAATGAACCACAGTTGCAACCGACTCTTTGGGAAAGCAGTACACTGAGCATAAAGAACACTCTGAGGAGAATCATCCCTATTGTTTTTCAGAGTTGTTGGAGAAGGGATTTTTTAGCTTTTTTAGTGCCGACATAAAAAAATTCTGCTTACATGAAATATGCACGTACTTTTCGAATCAACCACCGCCTGTTTCATAATCTCCGAGGGGGAGCCGTAAATAACTGCATCGATAAAAATGTGTTGTCAGTTCCTTTAAAAGCACCGATAAATATGACTATTTTTCCCGATGTCTTTTTTGCAGTTCCTGGCTTTTGACACCCAGATGCTCATGGGCGGCCGCAAAATGGAACTGAGCCCTGAGGAGCACATCTTTGCTGCATTGCAGCTGTACATGGACATCGTGCAAATTTTCTTGTTCCTGTTGAGATTGCTCAGAAAGCGCTAAGCCTTGGGGGGGTTTAGCGGCAACTTCCATGTCCTTGCAGAACTACATTACTTTAGTAGAAAACCGACTTTGCCATTATTTGATGTGAGCAATTATTCAACAGGAGTGGCTTCCTTAGCCTTTCACAGAGTGGCATTGCGAAAGCAGTTTTCCTCTCTGTCGGATGCCAAAGCGCCAGGATGCGCAACTAGACCATTCACAAATCTGCGATTTCAGAGAGGACGACTGCATGCTATGAACATCATCTTTGCTGTGCAACAGCAACGAAACACACCATCAAAAGAAGACAGGCTGGGGTTTTCCAAGTTGGACCGTGTAAGCAAGGCAATGGTTTCTTGCAAACATTGTCGTCCTGTTTTGGTGCCCAGGTCAGCAGACCTCTCGGCAAAAAAAACCTTCTGAATGACAGCCACAGAGCTATTATTATATTATTAAGTAAAAACATCTATGCCCTAGGCACCTCGATGTAAATGGCCACAAATGCTCTCTGTTCACCTGCTTCAAGCATTTCCGTACAGTAAGTACAGCAGAACAAATGTTACGTATTATGTCTGCCATGTTCCCTAAGGATACTAGTCAATGCTAAAGCAGAGTAATAGTTTGTCCTGGCCCTGCACGAAGTCGTTGTTTTGTAGTTGTTCGTAACCTATTACTGTGATTACTGTATATATTTTCTCAAACTGAATTAGGCCAGCAATGGAGCATTACCCTTTGTCTGCTACATTCTGCTGTTGCGACTAATATTTTGGCACTTGGTTAGCGCTAGCATCAACTTTTGGATTGTAGTATGTCAGAGGGCATTGGATATCACTTTTTCGTACCTTCAGTTTGTAATGTTTTGAACTCAATCTGGTAAATTGTGGGACGCTGCTCTGTGTATTAAATCTCTCTGATTTAACTGAGAAAGTAAGGGACGCTATTCTCATCTTTTTGACCTGCTTGCCATTCTTAATGTTGTCAAGGGGCCATACAGGAGATATTATAAAAGGAAGGTTACTAAACCGTTTCTTGCTAGTTTGAAAACTAGTGTAATGTGTAAAATACATGTGGTCACAAATAAAATGCAGCTTTGTTGTGGTAGTGGACTGCTATTGTCTTGGAACAGTCACTTAATCCCGATTGTGTGAACACTAGAGTGTGCAATCCACGTGTCATTGAAACCTCTACTTCTGTGAATACGTATACACACTTATAAATTAAATTTAAAACAAAAAAAGAATAGCTTGCCAAAGTCAACACACTCATTGTATGTAGGTACGTAGTTTCAGCATTCTACGCAAATGGCAAGCCATAGAAGGCCACACAAGGTCTGTACCAAGGTTGTTTATTTTTTCTTGCTAGTCTTCTAAGCGCGACATAAACCACTTCGCAATCACCCAATCAAAAACATGCTATAGTTGTAACAAACCACATGTAAATTGCTCGAATTTTATTGAAATCCAGAAATGGTGTCAGAGATTTGGGTTTGTTCCTATTGAGCAGTTCTGTATGTACTGCAAATTCACTTATCAAATCAGTTTGTGAATGTTGGTTTTTTGTTGTCACTGTGTTTCGTCAGCTGTGTGCATTTGTAGAAATGTGATGGTATTGAAGAAAAACAAAAGATGAAAGCCTTGCTTGCACTGGGTCAAAGCTATAAGAGTAAAGGCAAGCATGCAGGCAGATTGGCTGGTAGATAGCAGTTGGTCTGGACCAAGTGTTTTGTATTGGTAGTGCTTATCTTTGTGTAATTTTTTGTGTGTGATATGTTATAATAAACACTGTGTACTCTGTTTATTTGCTTAGCTTTTTTTTTTTCATAAAGCTGTCTACTAGACATATTTTTTGATTGCATATTAGTACACACAAACACGCACTAGATCATCAAATAGCCGAAAAAGTCCGGAACAGAAGCAACCTGCCGATAGTATGCATGCAAATCCAAGGCATTGCATTTGCCACAGAAGGTGGTACTGTGCAGGTACACATTCCACCCGTTCAAGCTCCCAAGTATAAGAATTTGCTGTTTGAATTATCGAAGATTACTGAAGTCTGATGTTAAATGCATGTAGGGATCACTGCGTATTTAAACATGGATGACATCACATGAACGGAATTAACTTCTCCCAGCCACTTTTTGTGATGCAAGACCAGAGTTCTTGTAAAACAGGCAAATGATAATTACAAAAGCATCTTGGCACAATTATCGAGAGGAAATGAACGTGCGAGACAGATGCGTGTGCCGTCATTGTTGATGCTCACTGCGGTGCATGTGGTCAACTTATAATTGACACTCCTCGCATTTATGGCCAAAGGTTTTTTAAATGAAAACATACATGTACCTCGAAAAGAGAAACAAAGGCTCCTGTCCTAGCCCTATTGTGGATACCTATACCAAATTGAGATTTTCGTGTACTGAGACCTTGATACCATTATAAGGCATACTGTAGCAAGGATGAGAGCGGGTTTTTTAACTGCCTGGGTTCTCTTATTAAATTGCATTTGAATAGCCTCCATCAGTGTGTGATCATGGCAGTTGGGATATTTTGTGCACGTGTGTGTGTGTGTGTGTGTGTGTGCACACTTTAATACAGTATGCACCGATTAGGTCCTCTGTAAGAAATTGGGGAGGAAACTGCCAGAGATAAGATTCTGAAGGCATGTCATTTTATATTGGCTGGTACTGACACTAAGTGTTCTTTTGTTTATGTTTCATATTGCCAATATCCTAACATTCTAGGCAGGTGCAAGGACTGCCATCTTTTGATGTTTGGCATTGAATTGGTAAGGTCAGATAATGACTAAAATCGTGAAAAATGAAAAGTCGCCTAAGCTCTGCATTTAGAAGTAAAACGCAATATTGTTTTGGGCCCCATTTAGATCGTGTTCTGCTTAAGCCACTTTTCTGTAAATACCTGAACAGTTCCGTCAGAAAACGCAGCACAGCAGTGCAATTATCAAATTCCATTTTAAACTGTCCTAGGGTGCCTGTTAGGAAGTACAATCAGCACAGTTACGATTCATCCATTATGCCATTATAGTCACCATTTTGCTGAAATATTTCAAAGTAACCACTAGGCATCTGTAAGGCAATGCCTGCACTGATTGCATCCTCTCAATGTCCTTTATGAGGTCTTTTATTCTTCTTTGCTGGGGAAATTGACCCTCTCTATAAGCTGTGTCACCCATCCCCCTCTCTTCAGGGCTTCCAACCCACCAATGTTCACACTGGACATTCAACCCGATTCCTAACAAAGGCTTAGCACAACAAAACATGCCTGTCTAAAATGTGGTAGCCTATTGGTTACGATTATATTAAGGATAACGATTCAAAAGGCCACTCTGAGCACAAACTAACACATTTATGCTGTGTTCTTGTGATAATAGTGACTACAGAAAACAAGAGAGTCTGTGACCCCCTCTTCCAAAGATATATGGCTAGGTCCACCCCACCAGATTACCTGGGTTCAATTCCAGCCACAACCTGGGTTCCTGGGTTCAACCTGGGTTCCTGGGTTCAGATTACCTGGGTTCAATTCCAGTAAAGAGCTCGTTTCACAGAAATTTCAACTTCGGCTTCGTTCGTTGCGAGTTAAAAGTCTTCATTTTGAGCCTGACCGAAAACTAGAGAAAGATACAAACAAAATAAACAATACAAACTTCTAGGCCCAATTGAGGATTGAACTTAGGCTGTTTGCATGGAAAATAGGTGTTCTACTACACAACCAAGCGTCTGCTTGAAAATAGTTATAACTTCCTCTGCATGTAAATACGGTGAAAAAACACTCATGCATTACAAACACATACGTCCTGTATACAGGCTTCTCAATACGACATGAAATATTGCAACAATATTGTGTGGTACATTGCCAATGGGTATCGGAACATGTGATCATCATAACGACTTCGTGGTTTAGAGCTGGCCATCCATCACAAAAGGTACACATGTTGCTGCATGTCATACCGAGTTTGATACTTGAATGAAACTCAATGCTGCATGTGTTCTCTTAGGACCACGTAGTGGGCACATAGCAAGTACTTATTACACAGAATGCAGCCATAGGCAAAAGCTTCACTGACACAAGCCACTTTCAACTTTATCGGTTACATTGTAGAAATCCACAGTGTAACTTTTTGAGTAATGTCATGAGCGGGGTTCGATTCACCAGTATACCAATATATACAGTTTCTTGCTCGCATCATCGCTGGTCAAAAAGCACAAAACGAAAGCGATTGCTCCGAGGTCTACAAGACATTCTGAAAGCATCCTATTAGCTGATGCTTCTTCTCTGACGCCTGTTTTCAGCGTCATTAAAAAGTACGCACTAAACGGCTCAGGTATGCACCAGGGACAGAATATCGCTATCCCATTCAACTCTTCAAGGCAAAGTTTAAAGGTATCCTTACTTTTTTTTTTATTCCCATGGTCTTGACGAAAAATATTGGGAAATATTGAAATTCGCAACTCGCACTTGTCAATTTCAGGGATTGACCATGCTTTCACTAAGATTATATACACACTGCAGGCGTAAATGAATGAAGCAAGGTGATTCTGTCTCCAAATAATGGTGTAAAATTGGCAGAAGTTAAAGTAAACAGGTGCCCTAATGCCTTTTTGTGCATTGCGACTGCAAAAACGTTGGGTGCACTCCACTACTTTGTCCACAAGATGCTGGTACAAGTATATTTTCCTGCCTATCTTTAGCTCATCGAAACATATCTTGGATCTTTCATTGAATTGACAACTCGCCTGAGCGAAATCGCAAAGCTGCTTCCTGGTAAACTGTACTGGTGGTGAAACATCTTCATTTATACAAACTTTTCATTTTTCCAATTTTTTTTTTGCTGGTAGGAATTGGCCAGAATACTGACTTAACAGCATTTCCTTAACTTCACACATGCTCAGAGCCACCTATACGAATATATATACAGATTTGTGCGGTGTAGTGACATCAGCCTGGAAAATTGGTGTCCATACTCCTTTGATTCTGTGGATCTGCTAAACCGATTTAGCTAGACAGCTAGCAGGTGCCACAAGGGTGATTAATTAGTCATTCAAAGAGACTTGCGAGCAGAAACAAACCATTGTTCGGAAACCAATGTAGATTGGCTTTACAGGGTACTTATTAAGGTTTTGCATTCATTCTGCTATAGGTAGATGGCAAACTCTGCTTGATGATGCTGTTCTTGTGCTGTGATGAGGTCTATAAAACTGGTCTAGTCTGTGTAATGGTGATTGTCTGTTGGTGTAACAGGTTTGCTAATCTGTGTTAGTAGAGTGTGCATGACCGCATTCGTTTGACCAAAGTCTGCTGAATCTACCCAAGCAACACAGCCCTCACCGATTCGCGCTCCTTCGAACGGAGCTGGTGGGCGCATTTCATCTCAGCTAGGGCCTGTCGGCAGCCTTCACAAGCTTTCGCTATCAAACAGAACATAAAACATGTGGTGTGGTGTTATCACTACGAAAATTATATAAAACATGACTGCAACCACAAATGCACAAATGTGCCTAGAAATTACATATACCGTAGTAATTGCATTGCAATAAAAGCAGACGAAATGTCGTTGAGAAAGAGGCATTACCGGAGTGTATTTACAAATGCGGTTTTATTAACGTACAGTCCATCATAAACTATATCCACACTCAACAAACCATGCTTGGAAGAACGTGTCTTGCTACCAAATTGTACACAATGGCCTAAAAACATCATTAAACAAGCTAAGTTGAAAGCCTTTGTTGAAGCCAGGAACAGAAGATGAGTAAGGCTCTGTTCTCTCCACCCTATAAACTCCTTCAAAGTTGTAATAAATAAATAAATGCAGTCACAATAGGCTTTCCACAATTCTCGGAGCCTTGTATAAATGGCCGGAGATGAGTAAAACAGAACAACCTGGTGCACACAACCTGGAATTGACATGCACTTATATGCATGCATTTCATGCTACCTGTAACGATCAACACCACACAAAGCATGAAGGTTATGATCAAGAGACACTCGCTGCTGCAGCAGTCTGAACAACAATGCACACAATTCTCGATTCCTTATGGTCCAATTAGGCTGCCAAAAAACAAATTGTTTTTACGAATGCAATGCACCTTCACTTTGAAAGGTGCAGAGATCTAGCATACAGGAGCCACAAGGATCAGCCCCACAAACCTGCTAGAGCAGACGCTAGCACTACGAAGCAACCACACATTTCAGTGCGAACAGTTTACCAGTATTTTAAAAGTGGTATGCAGGACTTAAAAGCAAAGACAAGAATAGGGACGGGTAATGGAGACCCACTACCACTCTAGACCCTCACCTCCCGACCTCGTCATTAACAATACACACATATGACCCCCGCATTCTAAAAAAACACATACATACACACATACATATATATACAAGCAAACAAGCAGCCCATATGGCTTTGGGAGGTGGGGGGGGGGGGGGGGCAGCGACATTGCTTAGTGGGAACCTCCACTTGAAAGGCAGACTCACTCCCATATTCTAGAATGCCCCTCCACTCAACACTCCACCTTCACTTGAAGAAATCGATGGGAGCGCTATATCTAGGCACAAGGCAATAAGTGCGATATTCTACAGCAACTCCGGAGAAGCACCGAGTCATTTTCAGTAGAGCAGTGGCACTGTGCTCAACTTAGTTGAGATAAAAATTCATTTTGAGGCTATGGGGGTAAGCCCTGCTGACAGCCATTTGACATAAAAAGTCGACTTCGCTGCCGAGATTCATAGCACTACTAGAGATCACAAAGGTAACAAAAATCGCCTGTTGGTTCTGTATGTAATCTTGGCTAGTAAACATTATAAATAACTGTAGCACATATGATGAAACTGTGGAACTTAAGGCAAACACTGTTCCAAGTTTTTCTGCCACCACATCAGCAATAGCATGCAACGGACAATTTTTTTTGGAGAAAAAAATCTTTAAGCAATGTGGCACATGAATCCGTAAGACATGAATTCGGTAACGTAATCCTTAAATTAAGGCACACCAAGAAAAGTCAGTAATCGGCCTTGCAGTTCTTAACAAGTAGGCATAATTCAGCATCCTAATACTCAAGTAGTTATAACAATTGCTTAAAATCAGTATGTTGCCTGTATCGTTTTCTTTCACACCTTATTATTTTAAATCAGAGGAAATGGCAAGTGACCGCTGAAATGTGTGCGATATTGACTTTTACCCACAGCGTACCCTGCCAAGAAGCCTCTGCTCGCATCAAGCTCAAGCAGTAGAAGTACTATGCTGCAACTGGAATTAGATAAACTATTTGGCTAAGCAATTCTATTCACCCACAATACATGATGCCGTGACCCATCGACAAGCACGGCAACTCTGGCATCTACCATGCAAGATTACTCCTTGTGTATGGTTCAATTCCAATGCAATGGTGAGAAACTAAATGCAGAAATGTGGGAGGAAAATACCAAGCATCACGTCGGAGAGATGCACAGAAACGAGGCAACACACAATACCGCCGAAAGTCTTGGAAGCCCTGCTTTTTGCAAACACTTCGAAACAAAAAAGAGACGTGATCTGTTAAAACAAATATGAGACCTACACTGAATATTCTCAGCAGCTCCACAGCAATACCTGCTGGTTGGTGAACACGGTATCGCTCCACCGAACTCGCTGCTTAGTTTTATATAGAATTTATTTTAGAATACCGCTAGAGTATGAAGACAATGCAATGCTATTTAGAGATAAAAAAAGCACGGTTTATCGTGCATTTTTTTTCTTCGCTTATTTAGGGGAGAGATCACTCAGTCATTGCTGAGATCCATTTGTTCGAAATAGAATTTTTCACCACAAATTATGTTATCACAAGAAGCAGGACAACGAAGTGTGATCACTTCAGCTAACGATGCCCAAGTCCAGACACACACTTTTGAGCCACCAAACAATGAAAAGATTGCATGAACATTATAGGTATCCCACCACCGATACTTTTCATTACCTGCACTGGTATTGAAGAAAGTGCATGTTCAAAATGTGTTAAGTCCTTAGGCTAAGTTTACTAGCTTTTAAATCATGAGCATGCTTTCAATGTGAAGCCAGAATGGCGAGTACTTCTTGGTACGCAAACAAGAATGCCAAGGCATGCAGCTACAACAATATATTAATACATCTTCATGCATACACCTTCAGCATCACTGATGCAAATGGATTTCTTCCAGCACACAGTTACTGATTTCAGCTTCTTAGGAAATTCATTGAAGAGGGTTAGCTGCTACCCCATGCATTTTAGCATTACCATGGCATTGTGCCAAAATACCACGAGCATGAAAATCCCAGTATTCAAGCCGCACAACAGCTTGTCCATCATGCTTATTCCAGCAGAAATAGATTAAAGGAGCAGTGGCATCAACTTAACGCATGTTGCACTTAGAAATTCTACGTAGAGCAACTTTTACGTAGCGGACGCGATTCATGCTTTGCTAAAAAAAAATCATGCATATCAAGCAGTCGAATGAACACCACATCTAGAGTTTCAAGTCTGGTGTCACTGCTTCTTTAAGCATTGGGAGGTTTTCAGTTTCAGTCGTGGCTGAAACTGTATGACAGCAGGTGAGAGCACGCAGTGCAGTTAAACACCGTGCAATAGCGAGATGTTAGCTGTGCTGTTTGCCTCGAGCTTCTGTCACGATATTGTGTTAATACAGTAATGCCAATATGTACATGCATGAGCTAAAGCTTTATCTCTACTTTCTGCCTTTGCGCCAGGGATAAATAAAAAATGATTGACTCGCAGCATGCAGAGAGGGCAGCAAGACAGGCTGCAACACAAACACAATATCAAGAGAAAAGAGGTCAAGGCATGAGAAATTAGTGGAATGAATTTTTGCGAGACGTTTGGCAGTAGTACGAATGCCTCTGATGGCAGGGATCAACACAGCCATCCCTTGTTCAGTGTTTCACCCAATGGTGAGAGGATGACCGACCCGGTCAGATTTTCAGCATCTTGGCATCATTTTGGAGCAAGCGCATCTTGACCTTGATCTCGACGCAGGCCTCCCGTTCCTTCAGGATCTTCTGGCTCAGGTCCATTGCTTGCTCCTACGGTAAAGGGAGAACAACGAATGGCTGATGTGTAGAGTGTGTGAATTCACTGCTCTCTTCTTTGCATATCGTATTGTGGTGCAAAAACAATAGAAGCTTCATTAACAACAAACGTGGATAAAGGTGCCCGAGTCTAAAATGCTAAGCAATTACATTGGTGCGTAATGAATGTGCACTTACCACACATATTAAACAGCACGAAAGCATTTCTGTCCTGAATGCAACTTCACTTTACTGAGATGCATTATTTAATGGAAAATCACCGCTATGGAAATCTGTAAAGCAGAGGCACATTTGTGAAGATAAGGAGCTTCCCCTGCCCAAAACTAATGCAAATCAACAAGGAAAAGCCACAGAAGCGGCTCCTCTTTGGTCCAGATGGCAGAGCAACTGTACCTAAGATGTCAGTTCCAAGTTCGAGGCCCAGAACGAGGGAAGCTTTCTGAGGAACCTACGTAAGCCCCCTATACGATTTGGGCTACCACTAGGTTTCATTCTGCAAGAACAGTTTCAGCCGAATGCTTTAAGCCTTAAAGGACACTAAAGAACAAAACAACGATCTTTCACGTCTTAGTAAAGCACAATTTCACAATCCCCAAAACACTACTCTAACCGAGACATCACGTTTGTCAAGTGAGAAAACGCTCAAAAAGAAAACGCGGGTGGCGACGCGACCGAGAAATTCCCGCACCAAACACCACGACATCGTAAATTTTGAAGGCGTCTGCTGGGTCCTACATAGCTTCTACTTGATAAGAATTAAGTACACTGTCATCTGTGGATGTCATAGACCTAGGGTACGAAGTTCTCGAAAACTTAATCAAGCCAATGTCGTGAAAATACAAAAAATACATCTTGAAATTTGTTACGTCACACGTGGAGATTTTAGTGTGAAATTTAAATATGAAACCTCAACCTTGATTTTTTCACTAATAATGAACTTATGGTAGTGAAAATTATGGCTGTAGAGCTCTCAGAGTGCAGTCTATCAATCTAAACAAGATCACTGTTTCTCTTTGATGTCTCTTTAGGCCTAGAACAAAAGCTTGGGTATGAAGGGTTGTCTTCAATAAGCAGACATGACAAAAGATGGGTACCCCCTGTCTGTACAATGACTCCAGGTGCGGAGTACACAGATACTTGCACCTGTGTTCTGATCTTTACCTAATAGGCTTGTTCAACTGACCTGTTACAGTTATTTAGATTCAAATATGATACCAAAATATACCACAATTTTTTTTTAATGTGAATAAATGCCCAATCCTTCATAACTGTGTGCTTATCTCACGCAGCATGATTGTGTCTGAAAATTCCAAACTATGCCTCATAACATCTCGTAGAGTTGGTGTAATCACTGTATAACTAGGTTTTGTCAGATGGCTTCATATCAAGCTGTGAGACATCAAAGCTGGTCATACTTACCGACAGATGCTTGTTTTCTTCCATCAGCTGGCTAAGTTCTTGTTTAAGTTCATCTTCACCATCCTGGAAATCACTCAGTCAAGGGATGATGCTAACATTTCAGCTGTATGGCTACAGGCCAAAAACACTTACAGCGATATCATACTTTTTTTCAAAACTAAGATGCCCTTTGCCAAAGACATTTGCAGCGAGTTCAAACTTTTTTCAAGACGAAGATGCCTTTTAAGTGAGGTAAATTAACTTGACCAATTATCAACACTGCTAAATGACCCACTGAGCATGTAGACAAGAATATGTTGTAGCCAAGCTGGAAATGAAAACTACTGATACACATTTGCAACTGCGAGCAAAAGATGAGCAGACATACAAAATAGCATTTGCCCTTTTTTTTCTCTTTATAGGCACAGTTATTTATCTTCAATACAGTACTGTATGGTGACCTCAGAGTGGAAGCACATTGTCAGGCCCGTTCTCCACAACTACCTAAACCAAAGTAGCACCAAAGTAGTGCTCTCAGGGACAATTTTGACCACAAGGACTGCACCTAAACTCTTCGCACAAAGGCTTTTATGCTGACCTTCCCCCTCCCCTACCCTATATGCAGTATAGCTGCACTGCCTAGAATCCTCGCAGTGGGCCATGGCGTAATGCTAAAATGAAGCACTGAGCAAATCTTTACTCCATCACATGAAGCAGAGAGCCTATAATCTTGCTGGAAGTGCAGGGTGTTTTTTCCTTCACTCGCTAAGTTTGTATCTAAAAAGGCTTCAAAGTAACAAAGTCAAAATATTTGCAGCCGGCTGGCTTCACCAAACCACAAAACAGCAGTGAAGGACCGGTTGCAAAAATTGACCACATGAACGCAGCAACCGTCAATTTATGTGCAGTATTATTCACACAACGGTAGTTGAACATCTGCCTCTAATGAACTAGAAGTCTTCGCAGACATTTACAGCTCCTGTTGCTTTACACTTGGCAGTCATGATGACTTTGCAAAAAACTGCAGTAAAAGTGCCAATGATTACTGTCACAGAGCTCCCCATAATACAGAGCTAGCATAACACATTAACACAATTCCAACCACAAAAGCGCAAGGATACACTCTCGCTTCCCTCAGTTCCAGAGCTGCTACCATCGGCCGACTCAACAGAGTACTGCTTGTACCTGCAACACAAAGCAAGAAGCAACAATGCTGAGGACTATTGCGCACAAGTGCACTCTAAAAACAGGAAATGAACATCTTGCAAAGGGTACATAAAAGTACATCTGACTTATGGCACTCACTTGTCAACACTACAAGCTTCATCTGCACCATTACAGGTGCCCTAAAACACTTCTTGAGAATGTTCAGAAAACTCTCGATCGGTAGTCGAGGCACCCAAGAACGCGCAAGCCAGAAATTATGGCACAGCATTCGGACTGGAATTTACAATTCCCTAACTCAGCTACAAATCACCTGCTCTTCTCTCTACGAATGGTGCCATACGCCAAAAAACTGCACTGCATATTCAAAGTGCATGCGCATTCAAAATATTCAAAAATATGCATATTCGAAAATATGCTCACTTTGCCAGTTTCTCATACTCGTCAATCTCGCTGCGCAGGCGCTCAGCCTCCGTGCGCTCGGCAGCAATCTTGCGGCGCAGCTCATCGCCCAGCGACAGCAGCTCCTCCTGCTGCAGCACCAGCTCCAGCTCCTCGCGACGCAGCTGCTGCATCTCGGGGTCAGTCTCTTCCTCGGGAGGCTTGGGGCGCAGGGCCGCCAGAATTTCCTCCGTGGCTTCGTCCAGTGGAGCTTCTTGATGGGTGAGATGGGGCATGAAAGACAAATTTAGCCAAATGTATGAGTAGATGGAAGGACTCTACTGAGGCCCAATAGGTTTCGCTAGTTTCCTAGCCTTAAGTGATGCCTTTCTTTTTTTCGAAGTGCCATACTCATTTGAGCACACAGAATTTGCATTCTTGAGTCCTCATATGCATTTTCATTCTTACATTGCGAAGCATGATGGCTTTCGGACTGGGCTAATGAAATCAGAGGGGTGTGGTGTGCTGCAACACGACTTGGCCCCCCCCTTTATCCCAGTTCGGAACTCTGTGCAATGCGCACACCAATGCTCGCACGCAATTTCTCACTGCATGGGTCCTATCAGTGGAGACTTAATAAATTTCTGAGGGTTCATGAGGTTGAAACCACTACACATTTATTCTGGTCCCTCGGAATTCTTCAAAAAATGCCCAAATCCAAGTACATGGGGGTTCTTGCATTTCACACCCAACAAAATACAGTCAGTCACCATGGCTGTTAACTGAATGAATGCCCGCTTTTTCGAGCTTAGAAGCCTGACACCTCACTTGTCAAACTATCGTCGCAGTGATACCAATCGAGACACCGAATATGAGCTAGAGTGCATAAATAGTGAATTTTAAGATCTATACATACTAAACAGTGCAAGAAGCGAATGGAAGATAGAGTGCTTCTCAAATAGTTCAATATTTAACAAGCATATTTACATTTACAATATAATGTTCACATCCTAGCAGGCCCAATTCTCCCATTAAAAAGACAGACGTGAAATTAGGCAGCAAAGTTTGGTTCGCAAAAGGCTGACAGTATGTACCATTCTAAGTAATCTTCCATAATGGTAGCTATGCAGTGCCTCTGAAAAAAAAATTTATAGTACTGCGTTTCTACCAATTTTGTGTTTATTTTGGTGCAGTTGACAATCCAAAACATTTGTAAATAATGTATTTATACAAATTACATTGTATGAGAATATAAGAAAAGAGTTCACTTAGAACCAAAAGATTAATATTGTGACATCACACACAGCCTAAATTCAAAAACTGACACTCACACAAAGTTATGCTTAGAAGCAGTGAGAACAGCACTAAAAGGATCCTTCAGTTACACAGACTTTGTCTTAAAGACTGGTAATTGGGGAAGTTATACCCTTTAAATAATGTAGGGTGGTACTGCAAGTCTCTCATTGCAAATTATTTAATAAGCACCAAAAGTTACCTTCAGCCACGGCCTTCTCAAATCCGTCCTCCTTGATGTCACCAGTAGCGTGCATCTCTCCACTGCCGATGACATCCTCCTAGACATTCAAGCATGCACTGACATTAGATTCCCATGGAAGCATAGTAGCTAGCGTGACCTACTGCAACAATGTAAAGGCTGGCCTGCTGCCCTTGTGGCCTCAGCAACAATTAGCTGACCTTTAATTATTTATAACAGGGTGCACCTCAACACAGCATTAAATGAAAGGTGGACAACAGACTTGCTGAAAAAGCATATCATAAATCCCAACAAGGATGCATCTTTCTTTGCTTTGGCAGGTCGGGCCGTTCGCTAAATCCATGTGGCACAATAACACTGCAAACAGTAACTATCTTGGAGATTATCGACTCCGAGTTTCATTGACCAGAAAAAGAGAAGTGGAGCATGACATGGCAGGCCATCACACATCATGCTAGCACGTGTCACAGGGACCAAGGTCGTATTCACAGAGGGTCGCGATCCCTTGCTCTACAGTGGCGAGAGCACTTCACATGATCCAGCGACACTTATCTAGGGCAAAGGAGACTGGCAAAGACATCGCTGGAAGATGAGAGACCATTTTTTTCACTGGTTACAGTGCAGGAAATGAAGCAGCGCTCGTTAACGTGTCCCAACGAATTCATCACGCCATGCATGACGGTAACGCGTGCCTGGTGCTGATGATCTATCTGCGGTTCAAGTTGGCTCTATGGCACAAGATTAGCAGTCGCACAACACCTTTGAAGAGCGACTTCGAGGTACGCACAACACAATTTCCACAGATGCTAGCTAGTCCAAGGCTACTCAGTGACAATTCATTTAAGCTCACTTCAATGGCAGCATTGCATGTCCAGCAGGGTAATATTCCATTACAAACTGCCTCTGAAATGTTCACCACTTGTCATTCTTGACATCACCGAATTAAATCTGGGAAAACTTGCAATTCGTGGGATAATATTGTAATTGTTGCACACCATGTCCACAGATGGACATGTGCATGGGAACATTTCTGTCCCTACGCTCAGTGTTCAGAGTATAGGCTGCTAAAACCATCTGCCAACATTTACATCCCCACTTACCACATCACGAATCATGTCAGCAAGAAAACAGAGACCACTCATCACATCATGCTGCCATGTGTGTCGAGAATGCCCCCATGTGAACACATACCACTCGAAGAAAGAAAGGGTCAAGCTTTGGAAGCCTCAGCGTGATCCAATATTTGGAAAGATAACTAATTTTTGTCAACATTTTGTTCTAGGTTAAAGGTCTGTGAAAATGAAGAGTCACGAAGCATGACCAAAGTGTTTAATAGCAACCAACCAAGAACATTTAGTTAACCTTGTGCTTACTGCACTAAAGTTACTGATATTTAAAGCCGAGGATAATGGTCCAACTCAGGTATCACTCGAACTTCACAACACAGAAATGTACATGCAAAATGAAGCAAAAAAAAAATAAAAGTGGCGAGACAAAAGCAACACTACTGCCAATATTTGCTTTATAGAGAATCCCAGTCCTTCAAAACATCAGGAAGGTAATATTACAAATAATTGTTTTGAAATGTACAAATAACTGTTATAAAGTAAACTAAGCAATACGCACAGCCACAAAACTGCTGCGGGTGCAAATGCAACACAGTAAGCATTGCATTTATTCTAAACATGAACAGCAACGCAAGCAAAGTAAGATTGCATAGACAACATCAAGAAAAAACCCTCGAGCAAACTGTTTATGCAGGCAGTCCTCAATCAAAGATGTGCAGCAAATCGAGCGCATGCAGTACGGAATGCAATCTTCAGGTCAAGTGCCCGAGAAAATAGGAGGGCCAAGCCATAGCCAAAGTGCAATCCCAATGTCGCATAAGGGTTGCCGAAAAGGTGCACCTGCATGACAAAGGTGCTGCCGACGCTACCAGTGCTGGTTGCAACAAAGGCCACAAAAGCAATGCACAACCAAGAAGGCATCCTCAGGCAAGCAGTCTTCATCTGCAGAGGTGCTCATTCAAGCAAGCTGCATGCAAGCACAGCTGAGCAGAGCGTAGTCTTCAAATGGGTGAGCCAGACAGAACAGGCAGGCCAGGCCACACTGGCCATGTGAGGTTGCAGAAAGCGCCCACCTGATGAACTCTGACAGGCTCTTGCAAAGAAGTGGTCGGTATCACTCGTACCACCTTCGGGACAGGCTGCTGGGAAACTGATGGGACAACTTTCTCCATTTCAGAAACAGCCGGAACTTCAGTGGATTGGACTTGGCTATTAGGAACAGACGTAATTGTCGCGGCTTTTGGATGTTCACTTGAGGAATCTTTGGTCGGGGCTGGCTCGGCAGGAGGCAGTGGAGCGATGGCCGGCGTCGCTGCGGCTTCAGGTGGTGGCTGCGGTGGCGTTGGTTCCACGGCCGCCGCTAACCGAAGCCGTGTGTCGATCTTCTCAATGGAGTCTGCCCGCGTCGCTTCCACGGGAACCTTCTTCACTTGTCGCAAGACGCGCAACTGAGCAGTTCATTAAGTGGGTGGGTGAAAATCATTGTTCAGGGTTCCTTCACGAGAGGACAAAAATCAAAGTGGGAACATATGCCAGACTTTCTGCCTGGTAACGTAACATATCTCATCAAAAGGAGCCACTTGGCTGCATTGACACACGTGCAACTTATATAGCAGTGTCTCTCTCTTGACACCATTTCTTACAGTCCAGTCACACTGATAAGGTTTTCATTCATGACAAGACATGGCAACATTTATTTCCAGAATATTATCTCTTTTACAGCGAGTCTTACATATCAGATTGTGTGCACAATGAAAATAGAATAGCAGCATATATTGCCAAGTGTACACAAGCACCAGTGATTAAGTTGAAATGCAGGAATTGTGTAAGAATTAATACTGCACTGGACCCGCACTACAGGTTCTGATGACCAACACAAGGGCTTGTCGCTATTCTTGTGACACCGTTACAAGCTTTTCTTGGTACAAGAATGCCCAATAAAGAGTAAGATTCACAAATAGCAGTTTTAACACGAAATGGGTTTTTGCTGTCGCAACAATCCATTGACACTATCGTGTCGCCAACACCACTCACCTTGCGCTTGAGCTGTGTCACAACGCGCTGCACCTCCCAAAGCTGCTCTTCCTTCTGGGGATCGCGAAGTCCCGCGTTGAGCTCGGCGTGGATTTCACTCAGCACCTGCTCCTGCTGGCTCAACTCCTCTTCTATGGCTGCCGCCGTCTCGGGAAGATCCAGAGACTGACGCGACGAGTCAGGTGGGATCTTCTTCACGTATCTACGTTTATGAATCGAGAAAACAAACTTATCTGCCGGTGCCTTATCTCTCTCGCCTCCTGATAAGGTGAGTGGAACAAAGCCAATGCTCTGCTTGTGCCACAGCAAGACAATAGCATCTATCAATCCCGTCAAGCACTCGACACCTCGCCTGCTTAAAAAAAAAAGGAGCAGATGATAGATATATGGTAGCCACATTTTGTGTTCGGAACAATAACGGTCAAAGCAATCTAAGATCAAACAGTGCCAAACATGATGTGTGTTGTTGCAAACTACAACAAAAGACGAACTGAGAGGGCTGAATAATTGAGCAGAACCAAAGACAAAGAAGAGCGATATCTAAGAGTGATATTGAAACGAAAATGCACATGAGCACTGGTCTAGACAGTTTCACTTGCCACTTTGGACAAGGTACAGTAATGCAAACAAACAATAATGCTCTGACAACAATGTGTGATCATGGCAGCGTCTCCAAGCCGGTTTGTGACATGACACCCATGAATCAAGTCTCGACTGAAGGGCTGTAGTATGCTCGCCACCCAGCACAGGTTGGCAGTAAGTTTGCATGGAGTCGCAACTCAAAAGCCAGGCTCCGAAGCTGTGTAGACCAGCACATTTTTGTTTTAACCTTTTACATAGTTCGGCAGATCACTGTGGTAAAAGAAAGGTATCCTTCACAACAGCTCCAACGCACCCGACTATACAACTTAAATGAGCATTCGAATGTGCACCAGGTAACATGCTTTTTCATCAATTAACCAACAATGTCTGGTTCGTTGAGGTATAGTAAGCTATGAGAGGCATTTCAGTTTTTGAACATGCACTGGAAGTTTCTCGACAAATTTTTAAAAACTTGTCTAAATACAGCCATGCAAACATTCGTGAATACCTTTCCCAGCAAAGCGAAACCATCAAGAATCTACGTGACAAAAGAACTAAAGCAGCCACAGTTAGAACTATGTTCTGTAATGAATGGCTAATTGTATTAAACTTGTGGACGATCACACAAAATTCAGACTGCTATTCCAATTACAAAGCTCTGTTAGGCGACGCCTTCACTTACTTGATTATTTTCACATCTTTGAAGAATATCGGTGCATGGGAGAACAAAGCGTGGAGAACCCTGTGGCTGATCTGCATGCTTGGGCTCAGCACAACGTAGACATTTTGCAGGTTCATCTTGTTGTGCTTCTCCTGCGAAGCAGCAACGCAGTTAATAACTATATTACAACTGCTTTGCACGGCACGTTTTACTTGCGATTCCAAGTTATGCTAGGCAGTTATGCATGTCTATGTTATCTTGCCAGAAGCTTGTGAAAACAAAAAAGAGATGAGCAAAGGCTCGGTGAGGGTGTGTGTGCTCTAGTGAATGTGAGAAAACAAGCATATGAAGCATGGAGTGACGAGCGAGAGCATGCATGGCAGCCAGATCATGTGCGAGACAGACCAGAACTTGCTATTACAAAACCTATAAATTGCAATTTTGTCCAATAAGCCTTCAGTTTAATTCACTAACAACTGTGACAAATTGCAAAAAATAAATAATTAAGCAGATGTACGGCCACTGATCACTGAGTAAGATGAGCGACCTAATTTGAAGTACCAGCACTTGTGGCAGAAATCATATAAAGGCGATAAAGACATGCACCAAATTACAAAAGTAGCTACAGTCACACGTAAAATGTAACTGTTGGCAAAGCAGCTGTTTATACAAGTTAAGTATGTTATTTGCATATTGCACTGAAGCAGCCAGCATTGAAAATTTCAAAAGTAAAATAATCTAAAGGAGCTACAGTCAAACCCCTTAATAAGAGATATTGATATAAGAGACAAATGGTTTTAAGAGACATCAGTGTGCCTACACTGAAATACAGATTGATAAGAAAATGCATACCAGGTACCCTACTTTAATATACATCTCACATAAAAGAGAAATCTGCTGCCTCTTTAAAAGGGTTCAACTGTATAAATTTAAAATTCCACTACTTGCAGCATAAATGAGGTCAAAGCTGATAAAGTGGTAAATGTAATGAGTTACACATCAAAGTTGTCACAGCAGCACTTAGGTAGTAATCGGTATGATGCTGAACTAATCTCACGCACATTTCACGAGAACAGTCTGCTTGTCAAATAAAAGTATACAGCTAAATCAGATGCATATCCACAATGCGAGTATACATATGTAGCATTGTCAATATGCTAGTATACAGGTAGTTATTGTTTTCGTTTCGGCTGGCTGGTAACACAGGTAAAGTTCACTGTTTTCAGCTTCCCAGTGCCATTTTAGAGCAGCTACAGAGCAGGTACTAATAAATTAATTACACTTCAAAGCAGTATAGAACAGCATTTCTCTTATGGGACAGTTTGGAGCAGCACTTCCACCACTGCATTATGACATGACTAATCAACAATCCATTGAAAAAAAAAAAAGAAAATACTAACTGGAGTCATGCCCCGCCAAGAAAGCCATAAATTAAAAACAAAGCGTCATGGCTAGTTTGGCAAGTTAGTACAAACCCATATCTTAGAATCAGCAGCGAGTAAAAAAAAGGAGAAAAAAGAGACAGAGACTGGACAAGCACTAACCTGAAACAATGTTTCTTTAAGAATATATATGAAGAACATACAATCACAATGAATTCATGCATTACATGCACACAGCAGATCCAAAAAAACATCATTAAGACACGATGCGCGAGATGCGTGACCAGAGTTACCTAGTACATATTGTAAAGCGACGTACTTATGTATGTTCCTAAATAAACATGGCTTGAAGTTAGGTATTGTCCTATCCAGGTCTCTTTCTTTCACCTCAGTTTTTTACTAGCTAATCATTTTAAGTTATTAGTGATGCTACCGAGGTCTGCTGATTTGGATCAATTTTTGGAGCAGTAATATTTACCATTTTGAAGTAATCCAGAGTAGCTCACTTAACAACACGATGAAGAAGCAAGTTGAATTTGCATTCAAGGACATGAATAATCATTCTGGGACTCTTGTGAAGAGCTACAAATAATTCGATGCCAGACATCTTAGGAGCACTACCTATTTATGATGATAATGCAAAAATAATGCCGTCATGCTGTTGAGCATTTTGAAAAAACTTGTTCAGACACTATTTTCATAGCAAATAAACAAAATACTGGTTTAATAAAATAGTACTTCATGAAATAGCATTTTAAATACACCCATGTGGTTATCAGCAGATTTGGTAGACAAACGCTAGACACTCACACGCTAAAGACTCGTACAACGCTAGAGACTCGCACAGTCCTAACTTCATTTCTCCAAGATGAATTCAAGAATAAAGAAAGGTTCTTTTTCTTCGCAACTGATTATATAGCTGGGCGTAACATGACGTCATTTAGCTAGTCTCATAAAGCCAACCTCCCCTGACACTCGTCTCTCTGTGCTGAAACTACACGATTTAAATAACTTCGTTTTCCTTTTGCAGCGGTGTTTTATGTGGCTAGAGCATTCTATCTATACACCAAGAACCTCGCACAGTGTTCTCTAGAAAGCAGCGTGAAAAGAAAAAAAAGATACTCAAGGGTACTCTCTAGAAAGCAGCGTGAAAAGAAAAAAAAAAGATACTCAAGGGTACCTTATGCATAACTGTTATGCATGTTCACCGTCTTGTCGCGCTTGAAAAATGCATATCTACCACAGCACGAAAGAAATGAGAGACCAAGAATGACAGAACACAATGCTCATGCTCATGCCTAGTCTTTCATATCTTTCCCGCTGTAAATAAACATAAAATATCATGGGTAATAATACTCGCCATCGTATTTTGACAATATTTTCACACCCCAAGAAAGGTAGTAATAAGGAAGGTGGTAACTAACTCTAGTAAGAGGGGGGGGGGGGGGGATTTCGCTATTTCACTTACTGTCGCAGTCATGAAATCTTTTTTTCTATGGCATATGGAATAGAACAGTGAGACCCACAAAACTCCAGAGTAGAGAAAATATAGGCTTGAAATACAGCAGAGCGGACATGCACAAACTAAATATCTTGTCTCTCGCACAGAGGCGAGAGACAAGATTTACTAATGTCGCCATTCTGTGTAAAAGCAAGGATAGTGCTTGAATGATACATACTAGAAGCATAATACAAACGAAGAAAGATGTTTTTAATAGTGATACGTCTGTTGTTTTGCAACCAGTTGAGTTTGATTTTTACAGTTTTTTTGAAGTAGCACTTGCCGTGAGGATGTCAGATCGTTGTGATGTAACCCGTGGTAGGTTGTTGCGCATGTGTGGCTTGATGTATCTATTGCAATGGTCTTTCAAGAACAAATTTAGTTGCAAGTAATGACCTTATTTGGCCTGTTTCTTCATGGTGGTTTGGTTGTTCTAATTACTTGAAGCATGCACCTACTAGCCCAACAACAAATTTTACCAATTATGCAGTAACAAAAGCCCAGATATATATATATATATATAATGGAGAGGACAGATATAAAGAAGGGTTTTCGAGATACCACTAGTGTGCAGCGTCTTGTGCGGAGTGCTGCGTTGACAATGCATATGAGGGCACTGCCCTTGCCAGCACAGCACCTCGACAAGCAGAAGCAAAGCAACATACTAATTAAGAAATAGAACATGAAAGAATAAAAAACATTTATGACGTATGAAATGCATTATTGCCTTACTATTAGAACGAACCAGTTGTCGCTACATCACAGTCAACATGTAAGTAAGCACTATAGCTTGTGGGTTCAGTATGACTTTTCATAATATAATAAGAAAAAGAAAGACAAAGCAAAAATTGACTCACCATGCGGAGGACATTAGTCATGTGCACAAACACCCATGACAGAAGGAGCCGGTTCGGGTTGGGCAGCTGCTCAATCAGCTTCTGAATCATTTCGACTCGTCTAGTCTCATCTTTGATGGCTGAAAGAGTCAAAATTGTTCTTAGCTTATGCGCTAAGTACAACATATTCCATTTACTTGCATCATTCGTGCACTTTTTTTTGTTCAATTTTGAAGCTCCAAAAGAAGAAATTTACACGGGGATTTCCCAAATGCATCCTAAATAATGTGCAATAGTATATTGTGCAATATTTGCACTATATAGACTAAAAAAAGAAAAAGAATTAGTTGCAGCACAAACAAAGTTTGTTTATTTACCAGAACTACCACACACTTTAACCAGCCAGACCCGGTCTTACGTGCTCCAGTCTGAATCACTAGTTGAGAGGTCCAGTTAAGAATAATCGTCACAGCCACTGTCACCGCCCTCCCGAAGCGCCTTAGCCTTAGTTTTATCAAGCACATTCAAATGTCCCTTTTTCTTGAAGCTCTTCTTGACAGCGCTGGGAGAAACCAGGTCTCGCAGGATGCAAGCTTTCACACATAATTCAAAAGGTCTTCTTCAAAAGCAGGAATCTTGTATATTAGCAAGCGCGCACTCTTCTGCTTTCTCCCGTACCGAATGTCAAACTTTGAAGTACTTGAAGCAGAATTGCTAGGCGGGGGCACGGCTCCCATTTTTTTTGGCAAATGTTACAAGAGCCAGCTTCAATACAATTATTGTAGCCCATCGGAAGGAAACGGTAAAAACACAACGGACTAGCGGCAAAACCTAAACTTTCGAAATCAACCAATTGTGGATTGCAGTAGAGTGAACTAGAGCTCCAGTGTGGATGCAGAGAATGAGGTGAACGGTTGGCGCGACAGGCCCTTGCATGCCTCCAACGCATAAAATTGTCCATGCCTTGACGCGAGTGGGCATTCTCCCAGTGGAAGATATAGAGATATCGAGGGAAGCAAATGCTTGAGTAGTTCCAACGACCCGGCAAGAAGTTTGGGTGTTCAGGTACAGTATTTTAGGCATCGTAGTAGTTCAGGGGATGTTCTCTGAAGAAGAGACTTCGCACTGGCAGCCCATTTTATTTATGACAGAGCTCGCCTGCTCAGCGAGGTGTGCACCCGTGTAAAGCATCCAAAGGTCTAAAGGGCCAAACCTCATAAGCGCGAAAATGCACGCGACAGCGACGAGCGACGCGACGTAGATCTTCTTCGCGCGATCAGTCGCTAGCGCAGACAAACCTCATTCACGCGACAGCAGTAGGTGTTCTGCGGCGACGGCTTCAGCGAGCGAATTCCTCTGTTGCTGGCATGAGGCCGTCTACTCGCACCAAGAAAACCGCATAGTGAACAGTATGCAATTTAAAAATAAAATATATTGTTGTATAATAAAACGGAAAGTGTTTATGAATGCCTTGCAGCACTTTTTTTATATCCGCATGCGTAAACATTGCGTTATTTCTTGTTGTGCATACGTGCCTCGGGCAGGGTCACGTGCACCTACGTAGTCTTTGTCTTTTCCGGTTTTTCGCTATTGGCTGCTTGAGCCCAGCACTTCCGGACAATGAGCGACGGTTTCCAAATCTGGAGAACCGAGCGATTGCGCGAAAACGAGCACGCGAAAATGAGCACGCGACACGTCGCGCGAACGCCCCGTTTCGTCGCTCACAGCATCGCTCATCACTGTCGCGTGCATTCTCGCGCTTATGAGGTTTGGCCCAAAATCTCTTCGTGGTGCACCAGCGAGCTGGCTCAAGCGGGTCAGAAAGCACAAAATATGCCAGTAAATATTTTTTTAGTAAAGCTGGCTCAATATTATGGGTACGCAAATCATGCAAGTAAATACAGTGCTTAGTGAATACACATGTAGGTATGTGTGGAATTCAACAGCCAAGAACAGAGCTACTATATTAACACAGATAGCACATAAGCATAATGCAAAGGGCACCATTTTTGCTGCATGACACGGTCTTATCTACTTTGTTCTCTGAACGAAATGAAATAGACGGGAGATAGGACATGAGCCGGAGACCAATTCATTGATGGCAATGATATGAGGTAGCACACATAGACAGCAGTACTGGCTGTAATTAAAATAAGTACTGCACAGCACAAAAGCGAGAGGCGAGGGGCATGGTGCACGGTGAAAATTTTTCTAGCCATTCATTTGCTTGACTTGTGACGCCCAATTGCACAAATCCAAGAGGTCTCGCGTGAAAACCTCCAAGATTAAACTTACTGATCTTTACTCATGCCTTAGAAGTTGGGTCTGCATTTCGACTAGCCTACCTCCTAGTTGTATCATGGTATTGCCCCATAAAACCACAGAATGTTAATCAATGTCCGCGATAAACCCTGAGCAGAGAAGACAAACGAAGGAAGCGGCTTACCAGCAGCCTCCTCAAACCTGGGGCCCAGCTCGCTGGTGAGCACAGGGTCAGGCAGCTCACGGAGGAACTGCTTCAGCAGACTGGCCACCACTTGAGGCCCATGCTCGCTAAGGCACACCTGCTCGTGCCGGTTGTAGGCCGCCCGAAGCTGCTGCACAGTCGACTTGACACCAGACATTCGGTAGATGCCCTCACAGGTCAGACCTGCAAGGAACAATTCTTTGCATAATCTGTGCCGATCGACATCCAGGGGAGCTGATGATCAATATTTATTGCTTGATGGGGTACTTCAGGCTTTTGCATCAATAAGAAACAATAATGTAAAGGTTTTCAAACTGTTCCGAGGTGAATCTCAGAGTCTGGTGTTGTGATCTGTGGTCGTTAAGGACCATAAACACCCACTCAAACAAGCTTCATGTTAGTGTATCGTCTAATTAAACTTCAGACAGGTACATGGTGTATTGCTTTGAGAAGGTATATTTAGATATACAGGGGCACCAGCAGTTGTCCACGAAGATGCATTTTCATTATATTGAAATCTGCACCTCTTAAGATTAATGAACTAAGATTAATAAGACTAAAAGCTGTCTGAAGGCCAAGCTTCAAACCATTGTCATACTATATCTGGATCACACTCTTTGTTGCAATGCATAGTTCTCTGTTTAGCTGGCACTTCCCTAAACTAAAAAAAATTGACTTCCCATTTTATTTTACAAGCTAATTCCATTTCTTCAAGTCTTCAAAAATCTGCCTGCTTGAGATCCCATATTAAAAGAAATCTAGGACTGTCACCACTCCTGTCCCACAGTGTCCCAAAAACATTACCAAAGACAAGAAAAAACCACGGCCCTCTCAACAGTTCAATATAAGTTGTAACTTCCTAGCAGCATTTAAAAAATTTCACATTTACTGAAGCTAAGTGTATATGCATTTCACTATATTCATCAGATATGTATGACTCCTTAAGTTGTTACAAAACCACATGAATTGAGAGGACAAGGCCTCACTGCAGCATTTGGGCTCAACCTTCACATCAGTAATTAAAGGGACACACAACATAACCGCAAAATCAGCATCAACAATTTGACCAAGTGAAAAAATCAAGGTGCATAAAGAGACACACTGTGAGTTTGAATACATCTTACATGTCTAATTATATCTCAAACTCATGGTTTTTGGTTACTGACCATGTTCTTCAATGTAGTCAAGGCACTCTCGCACAATAGCAGGCAACTCGATGCCATCGTCAGACGGGTTCTTTTCAAGTGCAGTCAGCAAGGGAACGCCAAAAATTGGATCCTCTGAAACAAAAACAAAACAAACAAAAACAAGAATGGGTTGGTGATTCCTAATATTTTTTTATCAGCACTTTTGTAATAGCACCACCTAAATAATAGACCTTATAATGAGTGCACACCCAGGCATCGTGCAGGATGTGGAAGTGGTTGGCAAGGTACGATGCAGTGACCATAGAATAGTACGGTCTCGAATTCGCCTAGACTTGAGGAAGGAACGGCAGAAACTGATACGCAAGAAGCCAATCAATGAGCTAGCATTGAGAGGGAAAGTACAGGAATTCAGAGTCTCGCTTCAGAACAGGTATTTGGCTCTTAGTGAGGAAACCAACCTTAGCATAGATACAATGAATGATAATCTGACGAGTATCATTACGGAGTGTGCAGTGGAAGTTGGGGGCAGGGTAGTTAGACAGGACACTGGCAAGCTTTCCCAGGAAACGAAGAATCTCATTAAGAAGCAACAAATCATGAAAGTCTCAAGTACAACAGACAAAATAGAACTGGCAGAGCTTTCGAAGTTGATTAATAGGCATAAGGTATCCGATGTAAGAAGGTATAACATGGAGAGAATTGGACACGCTCTGAAAAACGGAGGAAGCATCAAAGCAGTGAAGAGAAAACATGGGATAGGCAAAAATCGGATGTATGCACTAAGGGACAAGAAGGCAAAATAACCACCGATATGGATAGGATAGTTAAAATAGCAGATTTTTACAGAGATCTGTACAGTAGCCGGGACAACCACGACTTTAATACTATAAGAACCAGCAGTAACCCAGATGACACCCCACCAGTAATGATAGAAGAAGTCAGAAAAGCTTTGGAGAGCATGCAAAGAGGCAAAGCTGCTGGTGAGGATCAGGTAACATCAGATCTGCTGAAAGATGGAGGACAGATTGTGTTAGAAAAACTAGCCACCCTGTTTACGAGGTGTCTCCTGACGGGAAGAGTACCAGAGTCTTGGAAGAACGCTAACATTATCTTAATACATAAGGAGATGACAAGGACTTGAAGAATTACAGGCCGATTAGCTTGCTCTCTGTAGTATACAAGTTATTTACAAAGGTAATTGCTAATAGAGTAAAGAAAACATTGGAATTCAATCAACCAAAGGAACAAGCAGGATTTCGAACAGTCTACTCAACAATCGACCACATTCATAATATCAATCAGGTAATAGAGAAATGCTCAGAATATAACCAACCACTATAGCCTTCATAGATTACGAGAAGGTGTTTGACTCAGTAGAAATATCAGCCGTCATGCAGACACTGCGGAATCAGGGCGTCGATGAAGTATATATAAACATCCTGGAAGAAATCTACAGGGGATCAACTGCTACCATAGTGCTTCATAAAGAAAGCAACAGAATACCAATCAAGAAAGGTGTAAGGCAGGGGGACACAATCTCCCCAATGCTATTTACCGCGTGCTTACAGGAGGTTTTCAGAAGCCTAGAATGGGAACAGTTAGGGATAAGAGTTAATGGAGAGTACCTCAGTAACCTGCGCTTCACCGATGACATTGCATTGCTGAGTAACTCAGGGGATGAATTGCAACTCATGATTACGGAGTTAGACAAGGAAAGCAGAAAGGTGGGTCTTAAAATGAATCTGCAGAAAATGAAAGTAATGTACAACAACCTCGGAAAAGAGCAGCGCTTCGAGATAGGTAATAGTGCACTTCAAGTTGTAAAAGACTATGTTTACTTAGGGCAGGTAATAACCGCGGAGCCGAACCACGAGACTAAAGTAACTAGAAGAATAAGAATGGGGTGGAGCACATTTGCCAAGCACTCTCAAATTATGACAGGTAGATCGCCACTATCCCTCAAGAGAAAGGTATGTAACAGCTGTATCTTGCCGGTACTTCGCTACGGAGCAGAAACCTGGAGACTTACAAAGAGGGTTCAGCTTAAATTGAGGACGACGCAGCGAGCAATGGAAAGAAAAACGGTAGGTGTAACCTTAAAAGACAGGAAGAGAGCAGAATGGATTAGGGAACAAACGGGGGTTAAGGATATCATAGCTGAAATCAAGACGAAGAAATGGACATGGGCCGGGCATGTAGCGCGTAAACAGGATAACCACTGGTCGTTAAGGGTAACTAACTGGATTCCCAAAGAAGGCAAGCGGGTTAGGGGGAGACAGAAAGTTAGATGGGCACATGAGATTAAGAAGTTTGCGGGTATAAATTGGCAGCAGCAAGCACAGGACCGGGTTAACTGGGGGAACATGGGAGAGGCCTTTGTCCTGCAGTGGATGTAGTCAGGCTGATGAAGATGATGACGAAATAAAACATGATAGTATGCACAAGGATTTAATCAAGTGGTACACTGTATGCAACAAATGAACACATTGATCAGCTACAAGATGAGCAATGAAGGATCAACACTAGACCAGTTTCAAAAATAGTTAAAGTACTCTTTCAAAACTACTGCCCCATTCACTGGACAAAACTGTTTTAAATCAAGGTTAACCTCTTTGGACTTCATGCCAAAGCCACATATCCAGTGCACCACTCTAACATCACTTATCTCAAATATGAATATTGTGCTCGCTAGTACGCACTAATACTTACTTATATACCTGAGCAGTACTAGAGTTGAAAAGTTCGTGATGGTTGCTTGGCTGTTTGAAGTGCGTAGCACTTCTGAGGACCAGCTTGTCGTACATCCATCCACGTGGCATGATCACACTTACAATCAAAAGATCAGTACAGGCTTGAAGAAAAGCTAAAAAAAAGGCTAGCAATGCTCAAAACTGGGTTACAATAAATGAACAAAGTAGAAAATAATATAATTAACAGAAATAGTCATGAATTAATCAATATATTAAACATAAGATCGCTAAAAACACCAAGCAAGTCTTCACTCAGAACTCCGAACACTGCAGCACACACACACACTCCTTCTGCCACCAATGCATTTAGCACTAGTCGTGCAAAACTTTATGGGAATGATTTTAACTGAACACTCGAGAACACTGCCTCGGAAGTAATTCATAGCTCCGAATTATATGTATGCGAGCACATGGGATCGTGGCAGCCAGGAACCCAATGAAAGACTAGCCAGTAGGAGCTTCCTTTAAGCATACATACCGGCCTTTTCAGCCTTCTTCTTTTTCTTGACAAGCTTCACTTTGCTCTCCTTCTTCTTCTTTGAGTCCTTGTTGTCCTTCTCGGCATCCTTCTTGGCATCCTTGGAGTCCTTTGACTTAACACTGTCCTTGCTCTTCTGAGCTTTCTCCTTCTTCTCTTTTCCAGGAAACTTGAATGGAGCCTTACTCTTTTTGTTCTTGCCTCTGAAATAGGAAGAAAGTGAAGCAGCCGTCTTTTGAGTTCTGCCATGTTTTGTAAGTACCAGGCTACCACAGTGAATGAGAGAACGTCAGTTCAGCCACATATTTATCCATTGCGTCACTGAGACAGTAGACACATTACATTAGACAACCTAATACACAGATGCCGTGCAACAAAACACCGCCGCAAAAGCTGTGAACTGAGAAGCACACTGAATGTTAATTATAATTCATGCAGCTGCACCACAGGCATGAAGCAACCAACTTCCGTTTGCAGAAGAATGGGCACAGTCTTCAAGACCCAACGTTAACAGTTAGTGCTTATTTATTTATTTATTTATTTATTTATTTATTTATTTATTTATTTATTTATAAATACTGCAGGCCCTGTTCGGGCCCAAGCAGGAGTGGGTAACAAATGTCAGTGACAAAACAGAATATAAAATATAAGAAAATACAATACTTAATACAAAAATAAGGAAATTCTCAACATCAGGAAGAATATAAATAATACATAGCAATAATGGCATTCATACCGAAATACAAAAAAATCTCAGCACTAATGAGGAACATAATATATTGCATATTAAAAATCAAGTGTTAGGTCATTGACGAGATGGGTGAACGATTGTGTCGTGTCCGTATTAACGACCTCCTGAGGTAACTTGTTCCATAATGAAAGAGCATGAAGGAATAATGAGTACTGATGAACGTTCAGATGACTGAATGGTTGACCAACTGTTTTATTATGATGAATACGGTCAAAGCGCACGGACGGGTTGGTTATGTAGCGATTTGGTGGAATTTTGAAGTGACCTATGGTACAATTGATAGATGAATTTTAATCGAGACTATTCTACGATGAGCGAGTGTTTTCAGATATGCCTTCTCGCGAAGAGCAGAGACGCTTGCAAAACGAGAGTAGCTAGAATAAATATATATATATTGAAGGTTATATTGAATTCAGTACTTTCTTGAGCACATTCAAACATTATACACCATAGCTGATACAGGGAATTGGCACAATGACACAGAGAGAAGGGTAAGCCTGTCTGCATATTAACTCTTGTCATGCCAGTTATTCCCCAAAACTATGAAAGAAGACTAGTACAGCAGTCTGTCCGTTGTAATGCACCTCAAGTCTACACGTCAAAGGTTTCAGTTCGTATCAATGCCTTAAGGGGGTATGGTAGGACAAATGGTATATGTCGGTTTTAGTGCAATATCTTAGAAACCAGCTGCAAGTATTTTCATCAAATTTTACATGCTCACAAAAAATGCCACTGGGTATCAAGTGACATTCTTTTTATACGCCTAGGTTGCTTATCCTTCCTGTGACCCAGTCCCACATTTTAAAGGGGGACTGGGTCCTCTGCGACTACTCAAAGGAATGGAACCATGTTCAGCGGTGTTCTTGTAGAAACTCAGAGGTTACACATGAACTAAAAATGTTGCGTTTCACATGAAGTTTTTGTAAGAAAAATAAAATTACTGCATATGCAATGCCACAGAGGGTGTATATTGTTGTGTAATTTTTTTTGCAGCTGGACTTCTTATAAAATCAGCCCTTTTTTTTAGTTGAGACTGTTTCTGACGTGTTGTAGCTCATGCATACACAGTTTCATCGAAATCGATTCAATACTTTTGGGGAAAAAGTACACTGAAGTCGAAAAATGTACAGTAAATGCAATTTGAGAAAAACAAAGTTTTATGTGCGCATACTGCTTACACCAGAGGGCATGTGGCGCACTTCGGCGCGACATTTAAACCGCTTGGAGAGGCTGGCCGACGTCGGGCTTCCACAGGTTTGTTCCTCAGAGTACAGTGGATTTTTTTGGTGTCAAAATTGCAAATTCGATATTTTGGGGGGATTACCCTACCACACCCCCTTCACAGCATTTGCCTTAATGCCTTAACATGCACAGCCATTTGTATTCTAGATAGCATAGCAGCCGTTTCTGGCTGCCATATAGAGAATTTTTGTTGGAGAAATCATGCAGATTCATCCATTTGTGAAACTGTGACTGAATGGCAATGTAGGCGATCATCCAAATAATGCATAAACAATGGAAGAACACAAAGTGACATGAGCACCAATTTTCAGCTCGTTTATTTTTCCCGAAACTAAACAATATATAGCACTGACACCGTAAATAATGCAGAATTACAGCATGCTTGGAAATACCTTTTTCTTTCAGTCCTTTTCCTTGCACACAGTACCTGTATACTACACAGGGACTGCGCCAGTGTATATATGTAAAATTGGCAGGCGCCTCGATTCTACATTATACGAACATAAGTACAATGATGAAAATATACGCAAGGTATTATTAATGAGTTTAACTCATTACTGTCCTTGCTGCGAGTGCACTCCAGTGTTTATCAAGTAAGCATCATCCTCAAAAGCTATGAAGATATTACAGGAAGATTACTTCGTAAACAAACTTGGTTATCAGTATGTAAGCATCTCTTCAATCTTCCTTTTTAAAAAGGAAAGTAATTTCTGCACAAGGTGAAATTCTGTGTTTCTTGAGATGCCAGTGCTACATACTGTGGGTTTCAGCAGAAAAATACACCAGTCGATAGTCGGCGTTTGTACGACACATTCTCTTCCTCCTATTGCATTCTTCTCCTTTGTTCTTTGTGATCATCCATTGTTTATGCGCTATTTTGACGGCCATGAATAACTAATCAGCCCAAACTACTGTCTTTGTAGGGTCCAGATGAGGCTGGACATAACTTTAAAAATGCTGTATTTTACAGGTGTTATGGTAGCCCATTAATGCGTAAAACACGTCCATCCTGTGTTACTTTGTAGATGTTCATACACAAAACAAAAGTAGAAACAATTGAAGTTGTCTGCCATTTCAAGAATATCCCTGATCAGTTTATATACGTGTATTTGAGCTTCAAAAAGCCCAATGCTGCTTTGCTAAACTATCTGCGAGTGTACTGCCACTCACTTAACTAGTAGTAAAAATGCTGCACTTTAACACTGTCTTTAATTACTAGAGCTTGTAAACATAACAACCATTTGTAATAACCTATGCTTGTGTACAATTTTCAAGCAATGCGATTCCATTCAAGAGGTTTCCAATGAAACTTGCACAATGCGCCATCCAAAAAGTTCCTATGCTGCTCAAGGGTAAGCGTTGAATTAATAAGCATGACCACATCATACTGAGGTGCTACTTACCGTGATTCATCCATTTCCCCTTCCGAGCTTTCTCCTTCAAAAGCAACATATCCCTTATCCTTCTTGTCTTTTTTATCCTTGAGCTTGCCAATCAGGAGCTCCTTCTTTGACACCTTTTCATCGTCACTATCTGTGGAAACAATGAGGGCTTCAGAATTGTAGGACACAATGTCGCAATGCAGGTCACTTGGTCTGTCACTGTCGTGAATGAACTATCGTAGCACGAGCTAGAATAGTATCTCAGGATGGTGGCATGCAAAAGAATGATAACACAGGAGAAAGGAACACAAAACAAGGCACAAACTATCAACTCAGGTTAGATGAACATGAGAAGACTAAAATTCTCTCAATGACATGCCGCCAAGAAGTCCAACTCTGTAGCAAATTGTGACCAAGGGTCTCATGACACATGAATCACCTGCTTTGTTGACGAGGCATGCTTTCTTATTTCATGTGCTGCCCTGTCCTTGAACTTAGATTGCCATGTCGTATCAGAGAACAAGGGTGCACAGTCATATTCTCTACAGTGCAAATAAAGGTTCGAACACTGCTGTCCCTTTAGCGTAGCTTTGTGACCAATGACTTGCTACTGGCAATGCCCACTGTGTTTCGCACACGAAAGAGGAATATCGTACACCACACAAATGGCACATTCAACCTCTTGTCCCTGTGCTTGATTCTACAAACACCTTTACCTAGGTCCTCACCTTCAACCTTCCTTCTTACAGTAGGGCAAATACTGCCTGAACAGTTGCCAGTGAAAAATATAACATTTTTTAAATTATGCAAGACACCACGTAGGTATGAAATGCTGGCAACAGGCAGTTCCTTTGAACCCCTACTACGCTCAAGAGCCTCTTGCCTGAGCTTTGAACTTATGCACACCCATTTCATCAGCCTCGTCAAATGATTTTCAGTAAAACTGGACAATCTGAGCCTGTCCACTTGCCACTTGAAGCTCTGCTACGTCTTTTGCGGACAAGGTTTTTTCGGTGCAGCCTTCAAACGTGACGCTGCGACAACATTGTTTTTAGAACCTTAGAGCACCCAGGACAAAAGTCAAGAACAGGCTTCGAGCTTCTTGGAGCATACATCCAGCAGCTACGACACCCACTGAAACACAACTTAAAGTCCGGAATTTGAATCTAGTTGTCATTAAAAAGCTCAAAGGTGAAGTGCAGACCCGCCACCAGGTCTATAAAATTTTCGGCACATCCGCGCACAAATCCACACATCTATTGCAATACTAACACGAGATAACTGTCCATATACAGAAACATTTTAATTGCAATTACATCCCGGGCCATTTTCAGGTTGTCATCATGCGAGCTTAAGAAAATCACACACAGGCGCGCACACACGCACATGCACACACGCACACACCATGTCCTCGCGACGTGACGATATAACACGTAAGTAGGGTCAACGCTCCGTGAACAATACATGTGTTCCAGAATGTCCAAGCACTTACATCACTCTTTCAGCAAGCCGTGACATTGTCATTAGCCTCGATACAAATAAATGCTTGACACGCTTGTCAACACGGGCAGACAGCCAAAATTATTGGAGCCACTTCATTTTTCTGGATAGTTTTCAGGGTCAATCACTATCGCTGCAGCATTAGCATTCACCCACGTAACCGCGGTTAAGAAACAATCCACGGTTTCTTAACGGGCGCATACCACACGACCGGAATGCCACGCGCATTTACTCACAGGTGACATCGCGCTCCTGTCCTTTCCCAACCGTCTCGGACGCATAAAGGCCTGGAAAGTCTTTCTCCACGTCGGGGCTTTCAAAATCCATTCCCACAGCCGGCGAGCAGAACCGGTGTAGGTATCGCAAGCACTGCAAATACGAAAACACCGCACGTGACGAAAGGACGTTTCATGCGCCAACATTTTCGACACGTATTAGCCTGATGAACTCATTTTTGAAAACAGTGAACGGTGTGTCACTGTATTAAACAAAGCCGATGGCAGATAACGTATCTCGGGCACAAGAAAGCGTCAACCACAGCAACGTTTGCACGCCGATACGGTAGGTGATGAAACGTCGCGCGGCGTAATGACATTTCCGAGTCAACAGTACCTGAAGGCTGTGGACTCTGCTCTCTCGTAGAGTCACTGAGCGAGTGTAATAGCACGTCGAGTGCCTAGATAAATTTTAAACAGATAATATAACCTAACTCGACCAACATCTTTAGTTAAGCTCGGGCGCGCCGATGTCTCTGCTGTCGAACGCGAGACCGCACGAACCTGGTTGCCAACCCGAAAAACTCGGGAACCGCTAAGATTATTTTAACCCCTATTTTTTTTTTTATTAGAAGTCAATATATTAACTCTATGTTATTGTCAGCCTTTCCAGCATTCATGTTAGAGGAAGGTGGGGGTTAGGGATGATTATGCCACTGAGTCTAAAAAAAAAGGAACAAAACTATCCTTAGGGAATCCCGTGGTAGCTGGAGGAAAGCTTCTGAAACATATTTTTATTGCTATTTCTTTTTGTACTTAAGAGATTTACGCAAAGGACAGAACCAATGCCCGCTAGCTTATCCAGGACACATGGTAATGACACGCAGCAGTAGTAGAAATCAATTATTTGCTTGATTGAAAACGAAAATACTACGAAAAGGAGCGAGATGCCGCAGCTAGCCATCGCACTGCTCGCAGACGCACAAAAAAAGGCGCTGTTCGTTTAGGCATACGAAAACATTGCTAGGATTCCTCTTCAGTTAACTCTTCAAAGCATCATTTACATCGCCTCGTCGTTTCTGCTAAACTGCTGCAGCCGCACAAGCGACACGAAAAACCGCGGCAGAGAAAAGAAGCGCCGAAAACGCCATGTACCCAAAGCGCCCGGAGACTGAAAAGGCGCGAAGCATTTACATTTCAATCCAATTCATGCCGCCTGGCAGCCATTTCAATCCATATAACCTTTTTTTTTTCTTTCACGTTTTTGTTCCTCAGTTAGAAAAAAAGCATGAAAACAGATGCGTGCGCCTTGGCTCACGTCACATAGAACGTCACAATATTCGTTGCGGCTCATAGAGTTTCATACAATAATAGGTATGTTTGTAGGAAACTCTATGTTGTGGCTCAACTGGGCCAATCGCGTGTGATTCGATGGAACTGAACGTCTCCGTCTGAATCTACAATGCGTACAAGATCGCACCACAGAGAGCCCATAACTAGTAGTGAGCATAAGAACGAGAAGCTGCTTGAAGCTAAAGGAATTCAAATCGTTTTTAGGAAATCTGGCACGTGCACAAGCGCCACGTGACCAGACATTGCCAGAAACCTCTCAGAAAACCTGCTACGCACGCCTTGACTGCGTGTACATAGCTTGCATTGAAGTCACTATCGTCACCTTCGGGTACCAGCGCTCCCTTCGTTATGCCCCGCCGCGGTGGTCTAGTGGCTAAGGTACTCGGCTGCTGACCCGCAGATCGCGTGATCGAATCCCGGCTGCTGTGGCGGCTGCATTTCCGATGGAGGCGGAAATGTTGTATAGGCCCGTGTGCTCAGATTTGGGCGCACGTTAAAGAACCCCAAGTGGTCGAAATTTCCGGAGCTCTCCTCTACGGCATCTCTCATAATCATATGGTGGTTTTGGGACGTTAAACCCCACATATCAATCAATCAATCGGGTACCAGCTGGTTGGGATTTTGCCTTGCTCGAACGCGCGTTCTTCCTCCGTGGCCGGGGCCCTCTGTGTTACTTTGGCAGCATGCGGGGAGAGCACAGAAAGACGTGCACAGGGAACGACCAAGTCTTCAAGTACCCAGAGCGGGGAACCTGTCTGTGACGTCACGTGAAAATTGCCAGAGAAGCGGCATGCGCGCGTGCTGCTCCTTTAGTTCGGTAGTTTTAAAGAATATATTGTTATGCCACAAACATTTTCTTCGTTCGGGAGCACGTCTCACGAGATCGAGCGCTGTTCCGACGAACTGTCTCCCCCCTCCCAGCACCGCCTTCCGTGCAGGAGAACCGTGCAGTTCCGGGGATAACGTCGCTTCCTCCGCCGAACCACCTTGCAGTTCCGGGTATGGCTGCGTCTCCTCAGCCGAGCCACTGTGCCTTTCCAGGGAACTGGTCTCGCAGAAAAGACCAAAACGTTATTTAAGGCGGTTCCGGCCCCATGTTTAGGAGGATTTCGCCCCAGCCGACGTTGTCGTGCTGGCCGGCTCTGTACAAACGACAACCTGCTACAGTAAACGCTCCTTTTTGTTCCTGTTTTCAAAACGGATTGCCTCCCTGCTTCGCCTTCGGGCTAAGGCTTCAGCGAAGTCCGCTCGACTGCTCGCCGCTCTTCGCCACCGCTACCATCGCGACACAACAAATTCCTAACAATATATATCAAAACAGTGTTATGACTTAAGTCGTAACGTTTTGTCATGACAATGCTGGGCTACGCTCGTGGTTCATATCTTGCAAACCATTAAGACGCAGGGGTGAATAGTAGAGAAAATTTTTCTCCGGGAGGGGGGGGGGGGGGGGGGGCTTTGAATTAGTGTAGGTTCGTGCGAGCATTTTTATTAGTGCGTGATATATAGATATCTGAACTAAAAAAAAAAGTTAAAGGGAGGAGGGCTTGCACCACGCCCTCTGCTGTTCCTGGCTATGCCTGATATGTATGGGGCTATAATCGCTGGTCATATGTGTTAGTGTAATGTACCAGAATATTAGCACCAAATGGTGTACTAGGTATATGGTGTACTGAATTTCCCACATTCCAGTACGTTATAGTACTTACTATACATATATGGGCACTTATGCAAGTGAGGTGAGAGGTTATTTATTCAAGGGAGCTTCGACCGCCGCATACACATTTTTATCCGATATCTGTAATGTTTCAGATAAAAAGTTAATAAATTTACGATAACATTGTATATTTCGGATACTGGCCTCCATGTGCATCTCACCTACAATGCGACTATCTATTTCAGATATTACAACTTCGATTCCGGGATTAACTTGTAATACTGATGTGTTTATAATTGCTTTAAAGCAATTAACTTTAACACATATCTTTACAGCAAATACGAAGCCTGTATTCATGTGTACACCGACAGATCATGTCTGAATCAAAGCTGTACACGTCGGCATTCTTTGTACCTGCACACCAAGCGAAAAAAATCTTTTAAGCTCAGACATTTCACAAGATCGACAACGGCAGAGCTTTATGTAATACCGTGTGCTTTTCGCTTCATATGTTTACAGCCAGATCCACTTCGATGGGTAGTTATCAGTGACTCACAGTCCTCATTAGTCTGTTTAAAAATAATCAGCTTGGGCAACAAAGCTAGTGTGCCGGCATATGAAATACAGAGGACTTACGCTATAGCAAAAGTTTTGAACCACACCTTAACGTTCCAATGGATACCAAGCCTGTGAAATCATATGAAACGGCACAGCTGATCACATGGCACATGCAGAGCATCAGGAAAATAATATACCACTGCTACATCTACCGATGAGCGATGTACGATGTCTAATAAATAAGCTGAGCTGTGAATTGTCCACGGAAACCTGGTTCGAAAATGGTGCGCAAAACTCCCAGTTATAAAGCGTTGATCCCGGTAAATAATTAATATCTTGTTAGAGGTTAACCGATCGGTAGAAACAGTCATCCATATACAGGCTTCGACTTGCTACGGCCTACACGAATGTCTTCCTGTATAGAATAAAGAAAGCTGGCAGTCCTACCTGCTCATGTGGAGAAGCTCGAAAAGATGTTGAGCGCATTTTTTATACATTGTAAAAATTATGACGGACCTCGATATAAACTTTTACAAAAACTAAATTCTTTGAATAAGCGGGCTCCTTCAATTGCAAGAATCTTGGGTCCATGGCCAAAAAAAAGCCACAAGTCACTGCAGCGCGTGCAGTCGTTCACTTTCTGGAGGAATCAGAAATATCTCAAAATATTAAATGAAAAAAAGAAAAAATATTGTATTATCTTTATTGTTAACCGGTATAACAACAATATATATGACAATATTTTTGTGTTTATAACAATATTTTTGTGTTTCACTACGTTATCTTTGTGAAAACTTTTCTGAAAACTGTTTAGTACGTAAGATCACATTTGACATTGTATTGAACTTTGTGTGTTTTGTGTGGACACTTAAATTGGCGTGAATACTTGTGTTTTCACAAACTATGTGTGGGGTGGACACATTTCAGCATTGCAAAACGCGGACTTATTGCGTAAGTGTTGTGCTATGTACAGCCATCAGCAAATTTAACATGAACGCTCCGCCGCGTGTCCTGCCGCAGTTTGATTGACGCTGACACCACGTACGATTGGTTTCTGTTGCCAAGATGCTAATTACACATGCCGACATGCTATACAAGCCTACCGAGGTATTATCTCAGCAAAAGCGTCCAACACTTCGCGGCTGGCATCAATCAAACTAGTCCTGGCCGCGCATCGAAGTGTCCGTGTTAAAGGTGCTGGCGGCTGTATACATATGTAAGATGGTGGTTATAAGAGGGAGAAGAAGAAAAAAGTGAGCCCCGTAACTGTCTGCATCAGCGTGCGACACCTCAACGGTAGCTCATAAGGGATGGAGGTGAGGACGGATTAAAAGGATAGGATTAAAGGTGTAGAGAGAAAGAGAGATGCGCTAGGACAGCGAGCGACGACATATGAGGGATAGGAGAGATAGGAAAGGTGGAAACACGGTCACAGGAGCCCGAGGACGGGGCACCACTTGCGAGAGCTCTTGTCGGCGACAGGAGATGGCGCAGGGCTAATCCAGTCGGCCAGAGCTGCGCTGTCGTCGGAGATCGCGAGCGCACAACTGGTCGGCACGGAATCCAGCGCAGCCTTGTGTTTGCTACAAAATATGCGATGCCGACTTTTGTGCAAGAGAAGAGGAATAGCTGGCGCCACGAATTGGCACCAACTTCTCCTTATATACAATTATTTAAAAAAAAAAGAAAGCTCTGCAGAATAAAAAAAAAACACCGTGCAGGACTCTTTAGATGCGTGTTTAGCGCAAGGAAGTTTTCACCATTGAGGTATGGTACTCAAAAAATAAATAGCGAAAAATGTATATATTGCACAATTCAAGTTCGTGCCCTTGTAGCGATTTTTTTTTTAACGCCCAACAAATCTACAAGCTACTTCTACGAAGCATGCTATGGCCGATTTCTACAAAGTAGGATCAATCATCACTTTTTTTTTCTTATAGATAATTTTAGCTCTCGTGCTGGCTGGCATAGTTCTGTGGTTAATTCTTGTGCAGTACCACTAGATATGTATTGTAAGCGAGTGAGTAAGCCAAGGAAATTTACTGATATGTGTAGGCGGGTGGTGCGGGATCAGAACCTTAACCCCGATGAAATTATTCAATTTTGCATGTGTATGTTACACACACCCGTATAAACACACACGTTCAACACCAAGAACGTCTCCTGTACCTCCCAAATAAAATTTAAAAAATTCTATGCATACGCCTCTGGCACCGTAGCAGCTTTGTACGGGTGATACGAAGACGTGGGTTCGAATCTCACGTGCGGCAAGCTTTCTTTGAATTTTTTTCGTTTATTGTCCGCTTGTAAAATTTCGTTTACTTACTCACTTCTACTATAGCATTGGCATAAAAGAAGTAGTTTACCCTGCTGTTTCCTTCACTGTTACCTGGAGCAATGTCTGCTGCTTTCAAATAGACATATTTTCACTGAGTCGCATTGGAATTGCGGTCAACAGAAACTGAGCTTCTCTTTTCCTCTTATCGTCGACATAAGTCTTATCGTCGACATAAGTTCTGTCGCTTTAAAAACATCCTGCCATGAAGCTTAAGATAAAAAAGAAAGAAAAACGACTGGTGGCTTAAGTAAGAGCCACGATTTAATTTACGGTATTAGTATGCGGGTACGTATGCCAACGCACTGTGCTTTTAAACGGTTATAAACGTATGATATGCGCAGCACATTTCTCGATGTCCTTTGCATACTGCAGTAAGTTGTGCAACTGTTTGTGAGGAATTCTTTCCACGGCTACGCACTTTCTCTTTTTTCAAGTTTCCCCTTCACATAATTAATGATTTCTCCCAAGGCGACGCCTGTGACCACCTCATCCATACACAATGCTCGAACCAGTGCCAAGTCACACGTGCGTGTGCGTGTGTGTGTGCGTGTGTCCCATCGAACTCGTTAATAATATGTGGCGATGCAAGTTGATTCCAGCCGGCCATAACGGCTGCTTCCGGAAGAGTGGGCATCATGGAACTCGTGGAGAGTGTCAGTCCAGGACCAGTCGACAATCTCAACGGCAACGGGCAGATCGGTGGGCTGCTAAACCGGTTAAATCGGCTGCTTCTTCGAGACGAGGACGCCTTGCTCAAGGAGCTGCGCGAAGTGCTTCACTCAACCCACGTCGACTTCTTCCAACAGGCTGTCACCTTGACCAGAACGCAAGATGTGCTGAAAAGAGCAGTCAGGTAAGTCACCTTGCACCGATGGAAAGGCTACAGTGTACTAAAACACTGTAATATAGCAAAGGAGGTTACTTCAGGAAGTGGAGTGTGAGGCGGTTCGCGCGCGTGTTGGTGTGGGCCGTGTCGTTGTCTTGGCATGCAAACAAAACAAAAAAACAGCAGATCCCGTGCGCCACAGGAATCGACGTCACGCGAAGCATTCAGAGGGAATTTGACGGTGGCGTAATTTTGTTGAGCGGAACGTTAAGAAACGACGCTACAGGCATGTACAAATGTCGGACGCGCATACATGCATGTTCAACAGTCGGATATGGATATTACTATTTTTCTGCGTAATTCCTCAAGACCTATCTGGCTCGTCTTCGGCGAATCCATTCCCGAAATGCCACGCTTAACACACACACTCTGCATTGTCACATCCGCAATGACGGCATTTTAAGCCGGTCATAGAGGGCGTACCAGCCCTTCTGGGCCAATCAGAGTTGACAAAGTGGCTGATTTGGCAACATGGAGGAGTTCGAATGGTATCCCCGACGGCGGTCAATTCGCGTTCCGTCAAGATTTATAGGAGCCAATTCATTAGCGCACCCGATAGTCGAATCGAATCAGGAGTCCTACGAGCCAGACGAACTTCGTTTTTTTTTTTAATTTTTGATCCACTAAATATGATACAGGCATACGCAACGGAAGTAATGCTGCTTTTAGAGAACTGACAGCTGTCGCATTCTTACGTCATTGTATACAAGTGGAATAACTTATTAATTTTTCACTGACCCGAATTGTTTTGTGTTCAAAGTGAATGCGTGTAAAGAACAAAATATTTCGGTATCGTTACGTAAACCCTGCTTTATATGCTGTAGCGTCTGTGCGTTTTCTCCTCCGTCCTTTATTTTTGTTCTTATTTTCTGCTCCCTAACGGCGGACTGAAACGTCAAACCCTCGTTTAGCTCAAGCTTCGTCTGCGACGCGGTTTGCGGGTTTCGGTGAGTCTGATCGGTCACATCAGTAAAACTTGAACATCAGTATCACTTGAAATTGAACGCAAAAAAAAAAAACAGGCCTTAAGCGGGCGACGTGACAGATGACACATAGCGTCACGATGGAATGGACACCAGGAGATTTGAGAAACGCAGCGGAAATATGACAGATAATTAGATGACGAAAGTTCATGAAGTTCACAGGAGTTAAAAACGAATCAGTTCGCGCGCGATAGAATGAATTGGGGGAGGGGGGGGGGTCATGAGAATAGGCTTTGATCCTGCCATTGGCCGTGGCCGCAAGTTCTTGTTCTTGATCACCTTCTCCTGTGGCTCATACCCACTATGCAGGCCGCGATGTCAACAAATAGTACGCTGAGGATGACGATGATGATAACGCGCGCACGTGATGTTGCGCGTGTCTTTATATAGTTGTAACCTCACTTTTATGGGTGAAGCTCCTTAGGGTGTGGGTCGTTCCCTCCTCTGTACTACTACTACTATTACTACTACTAGTAGTAGTAGTAGCAGTAGTAGTAGTAATAGTATGTAGCCAGCCACCTGTAATTCATGAATTGCTCAGTAGATGACATTGTGTGCACATGTCCTTGGTAATAATATCACTAGATGGCGTTAATGGTTTTCGTATAGCTGACTGACTGACAGACAGACAGACAGACAGACAGACAGACATACAGACAGACAGGCAGACGGACGGACGGACGGACGGACGGACGGACAGACAGACAGACAGACAGAGAAACAGATGGACGGACGAACGCTTCGCCCCACTCGTCAAGTTACTTGCTTTCAAATGCTAAGAAGCTCGAACGAGACGTTGTGTTGCACAGGCTCCAGTTAGCAAACTGAGCGACTGCCGCTGCAAAGGGGAGTCATTATCCCACATATAATTATAATAACTCCTTTCATTCCATGTTTTTATTCTGTAGCGCTTTTGTGGATATAACGTGTATGAATCATTTTTACCAACGCGTGACAGCTAGACACTGTGATAAGAGCAGTGTCACTGTCCCAAACACCGGTCACTGCAGCTGCAGGGAATTCGAGCACTGCAGCGCCTGTCGGCTAACTCTATGACTGTACAGCTCATACGCATATATATTTTTTTCAGTGCTCGCGCATAAAATGTATGCAGCATTTGCTGAAAACGTCGAAGCAGCTCCGTGGCACCCAACACAACTTGTCTGACGAAAGGTTAAGCAGAGAAAATTCTCTCGCCTTCCGAAGCTGACGAGTGTGGGTAACAATCCTGCAGGGGCTTTAGGGCAGTGAAGTCAGTGTCCGTGCATCTCGCTCTACCGTCGCACGCTTACGTAAGGGCTTGCGTATTTGACAAATGAGTCTGCGTTTCGTCAGAGTTGAATGGAAACAGCGGCTATCATTCAGGAATAAGGCCAACAGCAAGCGTTGAGCTCCCTTTGAGTGTAAAAAGGAAGCACTGCGCGATGCTCTGGACGCGAAGACCGCTTACGCCCTGGCAAACTTGGAATCACCGAAAAAGATGCTCTGCTTTACCTTCGCAAAAGTACCAACTGTTATCGCACGAGAGACGTGTCCGGGAGGCACTTTCTAAAGCGGGCAACGCATGGCAAGACAGGGACTGCGGCCTCGAAGTGGCTATGAAGGAATTCCTGGCAGGTGCCTATTCGGCCGACATGTACGCCTCGATACGGCAAGCATGCGGCTTAGAAAGATCCATGGCCGACTTCAAAAGGTGAGCTCATAGGACGACAAACTCACGTCCTCGTGGTAGTCACCGCTTATCACTCGGTCCCCTGCAGCTCCAGCTCTGTACATGTAGAGGTTGAGCTTCATACCACGTTGGCTACTCCATTGCTACAAGTTTTGCAGCAAAAAAAGACGGTTTCACGCAATAAAAATGCACTAAAAAAGACATATAGCACACTGACACAATTTAAAAGTGACATGGTATATGCTGTACAGTTCACTCGCCACAGGAGTTCACGTTGCAATAAAGCGTCCACACACGTCCATTTCTAGTCTTGCCCACACTATTGTACTAACACAATTCCGTGTACAGATATACCAACACATAGCTGTTCATCACAAGCGCTTATCGAGCTCAGTGCGCGAAGAAGTCTTTCAGCAAGATGTTCGCTTTCTTCTGAAGACGCATTCAGGCCATGAATGATCCAAGTAATTTATATACAACGTGAGGAGGCGTCTGTCCAAATTGGATAGTTTTTCTCTTTTTTTTTCTCTTCCATTTGCGAACTTTACGCATTCAAAGAAAATATTCCCAACATTCTCATCTTCTTGACCACAGCAGCATATCTTTGAGCTGGGTCGGTGGGTCTTAGCAGCAAACTGCTTGTATTGCTTCGTGAGGCATATTTGTGTTTTTAAGCCCGCAGCCAGCTGTGAACTAAACGAAATTCTGCGGGGTTAATTCAGTACGTGTCAATATGCCAGGATCTGATTACGAGGCACGACCTATAGTCGTAGACTCCCGGGATTTTCGGACACCTAACAAGCAGGATAACACCAGATTGCAGTATGCCTGTGTTCTAATTACTTCCATCACCTTCGTATACACTCCGTCTGGAGAGTGTGAAAGTTATGCGAGCGAGGATAACTGCGTTGCTTCAAGTTGGACGCTTGATGGTTATGTGCAGGCATCTTTCGTTCGTGTCATGCAGGGCATCCAGCTACCAGGAGGTCGGCACACTGACCAACCTTTTCACCGGGATTCAAAGGAAGGGTGTTCCGCCCACAGAGGACACCGAATCCGCCAGGACCAATCGAAGGCGAATTGTCACCGTCGCTCAGATGCAGCAGGTATATGTACAGTATGTACAACATCGATACTGTTCATTATTGCCCAATGGCAGGAGCATCAAGCTTGCCGCAACTAGCACGCCGAAGCCATGAAATTGTCTCTCGCAAAGGCAGTGGGACAGGGACAAAGATTGGAGCGGGAGAGGATGGGAGGTGAACAATATCTCAGTCAAAATTGCCATTGAAAAATTGTTGCATGTATCTTACGTACGGGCCAATTCTGAACGGCACTTGATGTCGGCAGCATATACCGGGTGTTCAAAATTAAGCTTTATGATTTTTTTAAAATTAGGCGCTCGAAGGCACGTGAGAACCACTTGTGCAAATAAGTTAAGCGGCCAGGGGGACAGAAAGTTAGATGATAATTATCGCTGTCAGCAGCCCAATTAACTAAAATTTAATAATTAACTTTTTACTGGCTGCGGTAAGTTGGCATGTTTATATTGAAAAAATGTAGGCAGTGGTGTTTGTACACAGTTTCAGTTGGAAGATTTTTTCTAGCACGCCTGTGTTCCGAGATATCCGGCTCCAAAGTTTAATTGTCTTTCGCACGATTACGCATGCAAGAGGGTGAGGGTCCGCGCAAAGCTCCTCCCTAAAGTGACGCATCTGTTGCGTGTGGTGTTTAGTGTGTGAAGAGGGTGGAAGCGTAGGCATAGGTGATAGCAATTACCCTTGCCCTCTTCGGCCGGCGAAATCAAAATGTGACAGCGCGGTGCGCCATGAGCCTTACGCATGATCCTGATGAACGCGATAACAGGAGACCATTTTTCGCGACGTTTTTTCGTGACTTTAGATCACACTGAGACATCTTCTTGTGAACGCGTTAGCAGGACCGTCCTGCACTAGGGTGCCTCCGGTTAGAGCACAGCGTCTCTGCATTGAAGGTCTACCAAGGAAATCCACGTGGAGTCCTTTCGAGCTAATATGGCTGCTTCTGGCGTGAGGTATTCTACCAAAGTAAAAGTAGACGTGGTGCTTGCAATGGCTGAAATGAATGGCAACGCTTCGTTAGCAATGGAGCTTTACGCGTCTCGCCACCCACACCGTCCCCTTCCAACAAGGCCCACTTTCACAAACCTGTTTCGACGCTTCTGCACAACAGGCTCTGTCCACCTTCCGAGACGGACCAGGAAGGCAATCGTCGATGAAGACTTTGAAATCGACGTTGTCGCGTGCGTAACCTCGATGCCAGAGCTCAGCATCCGACAGATTGCCGATCAGTGCGGTCGCAGCATCGGAACAGTCACAAATGTTTTAAGAAAGCACAAGTTCCATCCATATCACGTTTACCTTCATCAGGACCTAAATGAGGCGGACTTTGAAAGGCGAGTTGACTTCTGCAATTGGGGCCTCATCAAAACTGATCAAGAAAATGACTTTTTGCACAGAATAATTTGGACTGATGAAGCTCGGTTTTGCCGAAATGGAAGTGTTAATCTTCACAACGCCCATTATTGGGCACAAGAAAACCCACACTGGCTGAGGCAGCACAAGCATCAAGTTCGCTGGAGTGTGAATGTGTGGTGCGGCATACTCGGGGACAGGATCATCGGACCTCACTTTTTTGAGGACAACTTGAACGGAAAGATGTACACAGAAGAAATATTAGGTGTTGTCATTGATGATCTTGTCTGCAGTCTTTCCCTGAATGACCTGCGCCAAGTATGGTTTCAGCACGATGGAGCACCACCACATTTTTCTACCAGGGCGAAGAACTGGTTGGACAGACGTTTTCCACAACAGTGGATTGGGCGCGCAGGAGCGATGTTTTGGCCACCAAGATCACCTGACCTTTCTCCGCTCGACTTTTTCCTTTGGGGCTACGTTAAAGATCGAGTTTACGTAACAGAGCCCAGCGATGTTAATGACATGAAGGACAGGATAACATCTGCCTGTGCGAGTATTCCTGCAGAAGTACTGCGCCGAGTCATCGAGTCGACGCGACAGCGGTTCATGCTTTGCGTTGCTGCCGAAGGCAGGCATTTTGAACACTTTTTGGGGCATTGACGTCTTGAGAGGTGAAGAGTTTCGATGAGATTTGTGCATGACCGAAATATGCTTATGTAGCAGCAGGAAATATGCGTTAGCAAGGATAAAACTGTTTCAGTTATTATTGGTGGAGTTGTTGCTCTTGTTTCAAGAAAAGTTACAGTACTCGGACATCAGCAGTCACGCTATTCGCGTAGCCCAGGCAACGACCACGCATGCTTCTCTAGTGATTATTACGCACGCGCACTGGCATCCAGATTCTCCGCTCGCACCATTATCTCGGCATGGTATCTGCCACTATCGTTAGAGGCTCTGCAGTTGCGTGTTACGACACTGGTTGCAAGCGTTCTTCGATTTTTGATTTCGACGGCCGAAGAGGGCAAGGGTAATTGCTATCACCTATGCCTACGCTTCCACCCTCTTCACACACTAAACACCACACGCAACAGATGCGTAACTTTAGGGAGGAGCTTTGCGCGGACCCTCACCCTCTTGCATGCGTAATCGTGCGAAAGACAATTAAACTTTGGAGCCGGATATCTCGGAACACAGGCGTGCTAGAAAAAATCTTCCAACTGAAACTGTGTACAAACACCACTGCCTACATTTTTTCAATATAAACATGCCAACTTACCGCAGCCAGTAAAAAGTTAATTATTAAATTTTAGTTAATTGGGCTGCTGACAGCGATAATTATCATCTAACTTTCTGTCCCCCTGGCCGCTTAACTTATTTGCACAAGTGGTTCTCACGTGCCTTCGAGCGCCTAATTTTAAAAAAATCATAAAGCTTAATTTTGAACACCCGGTATATGAGCCTGCCCTTAGGCATGGTAATCAATGGTGTCAAATGCCGATACCCTATATATATATATTATATATATATATATATATATATTATATATATATATATATATATATATATATATATATATATATATATATATACATATATATATATATATATACATATATATATTATATATATATATATATATATATATATATATATATATATATATATATATATATTTCTTGGGGAGGGAACACCCCAAGCTGTCCCCCTGTTTCCCTCCCTTGCTAAGTCAGTGTTATGAAGTGTTGTGTCAAGCTATAGCTATCCTGAACAATTCGTGGAAGAAGTATCACCTGTTTCAAAAGCAAATACAACTCACTAACATGAAAGAAACTTGATTACACGCTGTGCATGACAGTAATTGTATATGATATATTTAATAAAATATAGTTACTGTTTTTTTCTCAATAATTATATATTCCATTCACTATAATGACTATTTCGATCGTACTCGATCTCACATCTTACTCGGCTTGCAAATCACTCGCAGATTGCATATGAGCTTCACAACGACATAGCGACTACCATGCCTGATGACAACGATAACGTGAACGAGATCAATTCAGCGAACAAGCAGAAAACGCTGCTGGGCAATGCATTGCTATCGCTGGCGTTCAAGACTGTGATTGACACAGCTGATATAAGGGTGAGTGTCCCTCAAATCACACACTTAAACATTTGGCAGGCGTATCTAGCCTATCAATAGCTATTTCGAGATCGACATCCCTTATCGGTCCGTTAACGTCTGTGAATTTCCCACACAAATTCCTTTTTTTTATGGCAGACGTCATTATTTAAAAGGACCCTGCAGCACTTTTTCAACATGGCCAGAAAACGCTGCCAATAGTTAGTTGATTCTTCTGAGGACACGAGAGTCCAGCATGCACGGTCCGGAATTTAAAAACTAGAAATCGTTCCCTCTGTGAGGCTGATTATTAATTAAAAAAAATAATGCTATATACTCAAATTTCATAAAGTCATTGGCTGATTTGAGCATGAAGAGCTGCTTAGTAACCACGGGCACCACGAGATGCCGCCACGTGCTCGCTAGCGAATACACTGAAAGTAAACCACGCGTTCTGAAAAGTGCCCGAGGTCATAACCCGCATGAACTTCTTTCCCTGGCCGTGCCATTTTTCAGTGCGTTCATCGGGACAGAAGAATAGAGAAAGGAATTGCGGTATGCGGAAAATATCTGCAACTCCGCTGATTGCTTGACCAATTATTTAAAAAAATGTCGCGGTTTATTCACTCGATTGTTACTTGGAGAAAGTGTTGCAGAGCGCCTTTAACTAGCCGATGACATTTCATCCAGAATGACACTGTACTTCTGTGAATAAGTTTACATGGACAATCCACAAACCAACGGCCTTCTTGCCTTTTTCATTTCTCTAGTCACACACGCTGTGGGGATTGAGGCTAGCCCGTCGCCGGTGCGCGGGCTTTTTCGCCTATAGACGTCAGACTCTGCCCAGGCGGCGCTGAGAAAAACGCGGCCACCAGCGCCCCCATCAAAGCGCCGGCCATAAATGGGTAGTGCAAAGCGAGCCGTCCGCGCGAACGTGCACAGGGCCTTCTTTTTCGTTTGTGTTGGGGCGCTTTTTCCTGAAATAAAAGACTTCGCAAGTTTCGTCTTTCAATCTGACCTCGCTTCAGAAAAGTAAGAAGCTCATCGAAACGAACTGCGGGTACAGTATATACGGTATATGTTTCAGTTATTTCGGCGTACTGCAAATGGCACTTCATGTGCAAGCGAACATCGCATGACATCGAGTTCGAGGCAAGCACTCCGACTTTCATTCTGTAACGCCTAAATGCTTTAAACATGAGCATATACATGATGCTAAAGCGATGAAGTGCATGCACGAGCAACCTATCTATGATCAGTGGTACGAAGCTTGCTTTATTCGGCACGAATAGCCCTGATGATTTTCGCTTTTTCAGTTACATTAGTATACATCCATCTTTCGATTCATGTGCATTGAGAACTGTTTCATTACGCATGCTAGAATGTTCCGTTGATGGTTGTCATCCGTTTGTATATACTGCGAACGGGGATACATGCGTGCCCACTTTCTCGGTGTACAACGAAAGGCAAATAACGGAGGCCAACGGGAAGAAAAAGCCTGATTGTGGTCGCGATCATTTTGCGATTGACTTGTATCGCGTGCGTGTTTGCATTTTCTAGTTGAAGCCTTGAAAACCCTCAGTCGTAATTCTGTGCAACTTCAGATTATTGGTGGTCGTGGCGTGTGCCACGTTTATCGCGCGCGTCACCTGTCTACTGCTGCACGGCGCGCATTGCGGTCAGAGGCTCTGTTAAGCTTCATAATCGAAATCATCACGGTTATCTGTCAAAGCTACTCAAAATAACAACAGGAGACCTACATTATCACACTTTATCATGCGAACGGCCGTGGAGAACGCGAGTAATTCGTGGAGAACGCGAGTAAATTCGCTTGTTTTCGCTGTCGTTCTGGTGAGTGCACCAGCAAGCACTTCACGGTGGTTCGGTGACGCGTCTGACTAGCGGAGATAAATTCGTAGCTTTTTTTTTTCTAAGTGTTCAATGCGCAAATACACCTAAAATTTAGCTCAATCGTTGTTTTACACGCCGTAGTTGCACCTGGTTACGTAGAAAGCTGTGCAGAAAAGTCGCGCTTTGCACTACCCAAAACTGCGTTGACTGGTGGCGCTGCGTGTCCGGAAAACTCCAGAGTCGAACGTCTTTGTCTGCCACCCGCACGTCCCAACATTACTCTTCCCTTCTCCGTGATCCGTCGACGCTGGGAGAGCGGGAGTGGCGTTAACCCCGCCCACCCGGCAGTCGCGATGCCGACCGTGGCGCCGCACTCGAGTATCCCGAGACTAGAGTTACTACATATGCTACCCGAGACGTTTCAAGCGCGCACGGAGGGAGTCAGAGACTCTCTGCGGACAGCGTAGGAATGAGGCACGCTTTTTCTTTCCCGTCCGTTCAGCTTCTTTGTTCCCGGAGCTCGCTCGGACTCGCCAACGGTGCCTTGCGGTCGCGGCGAACGCTTACCTTTCGTTGCCCCTTCCGAACACTCGGTCGAAGAGCGGTGTGATGTCGCAGATCCATACCACTCGAGGCCAACGCGAGAGGAGTTATACCTCGCTCGAGTGATCGGGCCCTGTGGTCACAGATTGTGTGAGCACGTAGCATAGTCGCGAAGGTTTCCCTCAGCGGCGTGTCGACCTGTGAACCCTTTTGCTCACGGAGGCGTGCTCGTGGTACCCGTATGTGTTTTACTTCCACCCGTGGCGCGATTAAGCCTATTTTCCTTTCCCGCCGCCTTTCGCAGCGGGCGCTGTACTGGGTTTTAGATGTTGCCGTAGGCAGTAAAGTGTTGCTACTACTTGATTCGAAAGCAGTACTATGTACTTACTTGCCGCGCTGCACTCGGAGCCTTGGCTGTCCGAACGCACGTTTGCAGTGGCGTTAGTCACGTGAGGCGACGGTGAACACAGCCCTGCGGCTCGCTAACGAACCCACGCCAGTGGCCGTACTCCTGCGTGATACGTGTACGCTACAACACGCCTTCAGGGTTTCCCATCAGGGAGAACAAAGCTTCATAGCAGCGCGACCTCCTCCCACCCCCTTCCCCGTCCCACGTTGGTGACTTCAAAGCACAACATTCTTCTAAATTAATGGGAAAAAAATAAAAATAAAGTGAAGGAATCAGGTGCTGCTCTCACAACCCGTAGCCAGAATTTTTTTTTTTTCGCTGAATGGCGGGTTCGGGGATCATATCTTTTGTACGTGCGCGCGCTTGTAGGCGTGTGTTTATGTGCCAAATTAAAAAAAAAAAACGCGTGAAAAAACCATGTTCACATCCACAAAAAAATTGCGGATATGCCTTGAAGGGGGGGGGGTTAAGGTGGGGCAAAAGTTCGTCGTATCAACTCCCTTCCCTATTATGTCAATGTGTGTACTGACTTCGCATATCCTCAAGTTACAGTGCCCCTCCCGCCTTGCCCTCGTGCGCACGCCTATCTCTGACAGTGCAGGTTCTGAAGACGTTCTCACGAAGCCTGCAGCGTTTCTCGTCCTCTTACTTCGGCGATGAAGAGGGAACAGGCGCCGCTGAGTACACACCGGTCATACGGCAGTGGTACCGCTACCAAGTGTACAACGTGGAAGCGCTGGCCAACGCATTCGAGTGCTTGCAGCTACTCGCGAGGGCCAACGTAGTGGAACTCCATGCAGCAAGACAGTGCGCCACCAACCTCGCCCTCGCTATCCAGGTACAATGACAATGATGAGCGTTGTATATAGGACGCATAGCAATACATACCAAAGTGCACACGTGGCACAGCATCTAACACCTAAAGAGATCAAACACACATGCACACACACACCAAAGAAGGCCGATAAATAACTAATCAGGTCATGTTTGAATGAGGCAATATATGCTGTTGTTACAACAGAGTATACATCCCACCTCACAGTCGACATCGTGCCGCGGTGGTCCAGTGTACATGGAGCTCGAGTTGCTGACCTGAAGGACGCAAAATCTAATCCAGGCCGCAATGGCCGCATTTCGATTGATGCAACGTGCTATATAGGGGCCGGCGTCCATTGATTTAGGTGCAAGTTTAAAAAGTCCAGTTGGTCGAAATTTACGCATGCAGCCCTTCTCTATATACGCAGTGTACGATTAAGACAGACGGCGTCTCCCATAATCATATAGCGTGGTTTTTAAACGAGAAATTCAACAATTATTGTTATATCAGTCGCCAAACTGAAAAGACGGAAATGCTTATTACAAGTAGCCTTGTAGCTGTTATGAGAACGTACGTCGGCATTCGTCCTTGACGGGCCTACGGCGTCAGCTACGGCACTGATCGACCCGCATGCCTGATATTGAGATCTCGTCGGAAAATTTACGTAACAGGATAGTGAATGTTATTATGGCACAGCTGTGTTCATTGATTTATTGCTGATGTAGAAACCAAGCGAAATTCTCGTTGCGTTACAGTGGAAGGGTTCTCCCAGCTGAACGATGCGAATGCCTATGGCTGGGCCGTGATATGAAGACCGTATATTGTGTTGCAATTCATGCGCGACCATGACTACAGTCATTTTTTTATTGTTTAAATAAATAATAAAAATAAAATGACAATAGCGAATGAGGCATGTTGTAGACCCAAGGTCGAGACGAAGGGCACGGACCATCGCTGCTTGTGCGCGCTCCATTTGCAATATTAATATGCAAGGAATTCCATACGTGTGCAACAATTATTCGCAAGCAGCGTTATAAGCGCTGTCATATATTCGGCGACCCGACTATGTCTGAATCTGCCCTCGTCTTTGGGTTCACGCGTTGGGCTGGGATTCCCTCGAATTGTTCCCTTATATGGGATTTCAAAGCTGCGGGTATACAGTCTCGAGAAATCGGCATGCTAGAAAAGTATAGATAGAACAAAACTAGTTCGCGTCGGCGTTTACTTATCGAGGTTTTAATGGAGCTTTATATAGTATTAGTGTTTTTTATTAGCATGTTGCCAGAAACACGCAACTGTGCGGGAACGTGATCCGCCCTCCTGGTGCCACGTTCAGTTTCCACCCACGCATTTCTACCTGCATTAATTACGACGCGAGACAGCAGGCAGCGCAAGACATACGTGTTACACGTTTGTAATGCCCCGCAGTTACTGACATTACAAATCGCCTTATTTGCCAACGTACAGCGCACGTGTCGTCCATGCATTTTATATACCTCGTTCCGGCCTGTGTACCCTGTAGTGTGCTGCTTGCCTCTTTCATTCGTTGCCAATTACCTTATTGATTTTAATCGATCCCGACGCGCACAGCCAAGCACGCGCCGATCACCAGCGCGGGTCTGCGAGATCCACGTAGGGCACGTGTCTCACACCATGTATATATACTCGCACTTAAAGGCGGCACCAGGGTTATTTTACCACCCGCGATAAGTGAGTTCTTCCAGGGGGGGGGGGGGGGGAATTTATTGTGTTGTGAGCACGTTCCTACTAGGGGGAGAGCGCTCCAGTCACCCCCCCCTCTCCGTGCCCACCCCTGTTTGCACTGCCATGCACGAAAACTCAACCAATCATCACTGACGGCGAGTACGCGCACGCTACATAGCAGACCTTAATTTGGCGGCACTCTCCAATCGGTCATATAATTATTTGCGGGCTTTTGATACGATGAGATCAATCGTTTGATACAACCAATCTTACGTAACATGCTTGTGCAGTACACCATTTAGCCAATTAAGTTACAAAAAATAGTGGCCGCGATACGGAACCCTGCAAAAGAAACAATCATGTTTGTAGGGCCGACCTACCCACCGGCCTGGTTGAGCCCCGCGATCTCCGACGACAGCGCAGCTTTGGCCGACTGGCTCACCCTACGCCATCTCCTGACGCCAACAAGAGCTCTCGCTGAGTGGTGCCCCGACCTCGGACTCCTGCGACCGTGTCCATCTTTCCCATCTTCTCCTAACTAATGTATGTGGCTGTCCCTGCGCCTCTCTCTCTTCCCGCTCCTCTCCATTTCTATATTTTTAATTCCTCCATATCCTATTCATCCCTCCTTACCCCCATCCCTCGTGAGCTACTGCTGAGGTGTCCTCCCCCCCCCCCCCCCCCCCCCCCCCCCGAGAGACAGTTACGGGGCTCACTTTTATCTTATTTTCATTTAAGAATCACTACCCCCCCCCCCCCCCTCCCCGACCTGCGCTGCCGCGATCGCGTAAGTATTCCAGAGCAGAAGAGATAGTTAAAACATCATACGGCACACAAGATCACGGTGTTACAAGATCGCGAGGCGCTACCTTTGGAGACCGCGGAAAAGAATGCGCGCCCGTCGAGGCTGGGGCACTGGCCACGGAGGAAGAAATGCTTCTTCCTTCGTGGCCCCGAACGCGACGACGTAACTTCCACCTGGCGACGAAGAATAAAAGATCCCCGCTGGGCTGGCTGGCGGAGAGGCCAAGAGGCATATGCACCCTCAGATAGCCCGAACCGGTCTCCGCGAATAAAGTATCGGCGAATCCTGTCACGCGTCTCCTTTTGTCAGGCGAGCAAGGCCCGCATCCCGCCATAATTAAGTCAACGCGTCAATGTTACACCTTCCAGGTGCGGGATACAGCGTAGTGACGGCGATTTACGACCAGCTGCCAGCCATCTGGTAGGGAGGAGTGTGACGCGATAATTATTCAATGGCGTCGAACAACTGATGCGGACTCCCAAAATCTTTAATTCAGTGAGCAGTTAATTGCTAGCGGCAATAATATCCACTGGATGGTTGACTGCATACGGTATATATTTCACCCAACACCAGCTAGTATACTGGCACTGTGTGCAAGCTTCTTGTCGCGGTGGTCTATTAGTCAAGGTGCTCGACCGCTGCTTCAAAGGCGACGGCATCGAATCTCGGCAGCAGCGGCCTCATTTACACGGATAGGCAAAGCGCTAGGGACCCTCGTATTTACACGAAGGCGCACGCTATAAAACACATCAGGTCGTCGAAATTTTCGGATCTCTTTCCACTCCTACGTCTTTCATAATCATATCATGGTTTTGGTACGTGAAAGCCCCACCTCTACGAAAGGTACTGTCGTAACCGTAAAAGGATTGTACTTAGGAGTAAAATGACAACTGTTTATCAGTGAATTGTGAGCACTCTGGCTCGCGCAGTTACATTTTGCTACGATGCGGACACTGGTCCCGCCAATTGCTGACCGCGTGACGCCGTACACATGGTGCAAGGTACAAGCTGCCAAACCTATGTTGGCATGCCGTCCCTCATAAGGTTATCGAGTACTGGATTCCGATTCCCATGCGGGAACAATTCTAGCATTTCAATCGGAAACATAGCCCCGTCACTATCAGGGCACCAATATATAGATACGTATAACCCATATCAATGCCATCGTCACCGTTCCACCAGTGTACCTTACTCTGTCATCTTCCCCATTGGCTTCCAGTGTAGTCTGGGTGATGAGTGTATCAAAAAAGTTCGGACGTTTCCAAGCGAACGCGCAACTCTCAAGAACTGCACAGAGTGTCTAAGCGACAACCTTTTATTTTCTTTAGGCAACAAAAGAACTGGATCATTTCTTGAACTACGAGTGTCATAATCCCAAGGACGACCAATGGACTCTACCTGCAATATTGGCACAGGCGAACTTGAACAAGGCGTCTGAAATGCGACGCCTCTGCGGTGATTCAAGCCGCAAGTCTGATGCAGAAAAGGTGAAGCTGCAACGTGTCCACCTTGAGCTGCTGTTGAATATGCATATATTTTGCAAAGAAACCAGACTCACAGAACTCCACAACGCTCTCAACAGAGAGACACATGCTGTGAATTCATATAACTGAAGTAAATAATAACGAGGCTTAACCGAAAGAACTTTGTGGAAATTGAGGCTAGCCCGCCGCCATTGCGTGAGCTTTGTCGCCTATCTCTGCCGTTCTCGAGTCATAACATGATCCCCCTCTGCGGTCCATCGGCGCCACGGAGGAAGGATGGTCGGCGCTTAAGAGAGCATGAGTAACGTTGAGCCACTCGGCAGCTGATGTCGGCGGTAACGCCACGCTCGAGTCTCTTGACACTAGAATAGTGTGCCTCAACGCGCAGATGAATCGAGACATTCTATACCGAGAGTTACTGTATATGCTACCCGAGACGTTTCGCGCGAGCGGCAGGAGTCAGAGATTCTTTCTGGACAGCGAAGGATGATCACGCTTATTTTTCTTTCGCATCTGCCAGGCTCCAGCTCCTTCGTTCTTGGAGCTCGCTCGGGCTCGCCAACGGTGCCTTGCGCCCGTGGCGAACACTTACTTTTTGTTACCCCCTTCCGAACGCTTGGCCAAAGAATGGTGCGGTGTGTTCGCGCGTGGTCGTACTACACTGACCCGTACCTCTCGAAGCTAACACGAGCGGGGCTTGGCCTCACCCGAGCGACCGGGCCATGTGGTCACTGATCGTGAGGATACAGTAACTCTACCGTGAGGGACAGCTTCCCTGAACGACGTGTCACCGTGAACCCTTTTGCCCAGGCCCAACGGAGCCGTTATCACGGCACCCTTTGTTGAACTTTCGCCCGCGGCGTGGCTAAGCCTCTTTTGATTTCTCAGCTGTTTTTTGCAGCGGGAGCTGTATTGCGTTTCTGGCGTTGCCGCAGGCAATAAAGTGTTGCGACTTGTTTGAGAGCAGTACTGTGTACTTGGCGCATGCGCTCGGCGCCTTGGCTATCCGAACGCGCGCGTGCAGCGGCATTAGGGCCTTTCCACGCGCTATCCGCACAGCCGCAACGCACGTGCTGGCACACCTGCCACACCCAAGTTGGTGGGGGGAAATTAGCGAATCGCCGACGCTCTTTCACCCTCCGCTTGGGTGCGGCGGAGGTCCCGGGCACGTGCGTTGCGGCTGTGCGGGTAGCGCGTGGAAAGGCCCTTACCCCCGTATTCTAGAACGTCCCTCCACTCAACGCTTCACCTTCACTTGAGATGGCCGATGGGAGCGCCGTCTTTGGGCAGGGAAAGTCGCTGCATAACAGCGATAATCTGCCGTGATTCTCGAGTAGCGCAGCGTCACTTTCAAACGAGCAGCGGCGCAGTGGTCAACTCTGTCAAGTGAAAGGCGAAAGTCGAGACGAGGAGCGTTTGTGAATATGGCGGTTAATCACGAGAGACGACGGCGAACGTGGCCCTGTGGCTCGCTAAGACCGAATTCACGCTAGCGGCTGCACTTCTGCGGAATACGTGTATACTACAACTTAAGGCACACGATATTTATATTTCTTGGTTTATTTTGTAAGCTCAGAATTGTACATTAAGTTGTGCCGTAAATTAGCTTGCAGAATGTCTGCAAACGTACCCGACTCAAGCTGAATATTAGGCTATGCTACATTACAGAAGCTCTGTTACGTCATTGTGGTGGCACATTCCTTACTATGTAGAAAATCTCCTGCCTGGCCACAGCGTGACGTTGGTTTAGTGTTTGGGTAACATGTGCTTATAGTTACAGATAAAGGAAGTGCACTTTTATGAAGCTGTTGCTTACATTCTGAGCAAAGGGCGAGGAGCAGGAAATAAAGTGAGGAAATCATCTCCAGCAGAATTCCAGGTCAATCCTACTTGTGTCTTGCGATTGATATAGTGAGTCTTCTTGCCATACGGCCCAGACGACGTATTACGTGATATGATGTCACCTCGAAAGGTCAAGTATGCATATCCTTGAAGCTGGCTGTGGCAGAACAGGAGCTGATCAGGTGCCCGATTTCAACTTTTGCCATACTCATGACCTCGTGTTCGCCGTCAAGGAAAGGAATCGCCACAAGAAAACTTAAATCTGTTTGCCTTCGCTAGAGAGGCAAACATATCTTTCTTTTAGTATCATCTCCCTACCTTCCTCCCAGTTATGCAGGTCGCTATTTTAAATAGAAGTTTTAATAAATCAAATACTACAATGTTGCATTTAGCACTATATTATTCTGTTCAGTTGCTGTTTTAAATGTCACTAAATAAATAGTTATTAGGATGTAACTCATGTTGATGGCTTACTCTCGACAATAACAGTCGCACAACACAAAAATGTTTCAAACACACTGTAGTAGGACAAGGAGTGGCAAGATATAAATTTTTACCCATGATTCTACTGACATGGCTCCGCAAGTCAAATCGGTTTTTACAACCACTATGTACTGCATACTATCCTCTTACAGATGACTCTGTGATCATAAACGTATGACATTACTTCTATTACTACATCTGGCACTTGCCTCCCTGTCCCCGTTTTCGCCTGCAGAGTCAAAGAGAGCAAGACATTGTGGACGGAGTGAGCAGAGTGATACGAGAGCTGACAGATGGTGTGCTCGGTTACGTGGCCGACTGCAAGGCGTCCGAGGCATCCGAAGCCTTGAGAGACATCGCTGGCCGGATGAGGATCACCGGACACTAATACAGAACACAACTTTGTAGCTCAAGTGACATTACAAGCAAAAGAGTGAGATGTTATGATGGTGTGACGGCGCTGCTCCAGCCTTTCACGAATAGGGTGCCTTGACGCTAGTGTTCCTTCGTATGATAGAAGCCAGCACTTGCACGAGGGCACCTCGTTCGCAAATGAAAATAAAAAAGGCTGACGTAATCTGCAACTAGATTTCTGCTTACATGCTCCTTAGTGCCACCCAGAAGCATTCGGATGAGGAGCAGTGGGCAAAACAGTATAAAATTATAAATAACAAGTATAACAATTTGTCCCATTTAGTTCGATCCCCACACCCATGTTAAAAACCCTTCCTTGGCGTTCCAGTCATGTTTTAAATGCTAGCACATGAATGCATGCACAAAGGAATCATGGAATGCAAACATTGTAATTTTGAGAACTGCTGTTCAGTATTCGAAAAGTAGTCTGTTTGATTCTAGCACTATGGAGATTCTTATTGTATTCATTTTGAAAAGTTAACACTTATGATTAGCAGCAGCACTGAGGAAGCAAGATGAGAAACACGAGACATGTTCCCACACTGATGGCAAATCGATCACTGCGGAGTGAGAACCACGCTTGCACTCCCACATCATGCTAACAGCAGCATCTAGGGTCCCTGTACAGCAATGGCTAAAGAAAAGCATACATAAGACTTTAAGAGTGTCGATTATGCTGCTCCGGATTGCAGCCACATTATGTTTCTCGTGGTGAACGGGCAAGAAATTTTCATTGCCTGAAAATGTTTGGGAAAAGGTTAAATAAAACAATGACTGACGCATACTTCATGTACAGTGGCCATTTTTATGGTAGGGGACAAGTGAGCATGTGGCCTGCGCTCTGGCGCAACTGCCTACAGCTCGATCTGCCGACAGATAAAGAAAGCACGTCGGTTTTTGGCGGCATCGCCGTTGTGAGACCGGAGCGAGAGTGCAACTAGCAGTGCTTACGCTACAGCAATGACTCGTCTTGTTTGCCAACAGATGACGCGAAAAGCGGACGCACTTTCTTTATCTGTCGGTTGATTGTGTTGGTTTCTGGCAGTCGCACCAGAGTGCAGGCCATGTGCTCGCGTGTTCCCTTTCATGATAATGGACAGTGTACACATACACATACCATGCGCTAGTTGAAAGCTGTGCAAGGATGCATGCCAATTTTAACTAGTGTTGGAAATGTCAGGATCCTAACTGGATGATAGGTTCAGACCCTTTTGCACAGAAAATGCCATAAAAAGCGGTGTGCGCCATCTGCCCAAGCAGTTCCTGAAGACTGGTGAATAGTGCGCACCGTTTTCACAGACATCACTGAATCTTCTCATGACCAATGTCACAGGTCGTGCTAGCTCAAAGAAGCAATTATCAGTTAATGTGACGCATTGTTCACCATGCCACAGTGGTGAAAAATGGTGTTTGTGGCCATTGAGTGATGTGCAGGTATTTTCCCAAGTGCACATGGAACTATGTTTGTATATTAGGACTTAACTGCTTGACAAGACATATTTCTGATATAATATCATCCCTTATTTTGTGTAGCTGTTAAGGTATTGCAGTCACTAGCTATTCACTGCATCACCTTCTTAGAAAAGCTGCAATATTCTTTTTGCTTATAGCACATTCGACTGGTCATGTTCGAGTGCTGTAGAATGCTCTGGCAGTACAGTTTTAGCTATCACATTCATCTGGCTTGGGCAGGCCTGTACAGGTTCTGATTACAAGAAAGGTGCCCCTGGTTATGACCAGTTACACAGCACAGTAAAACCCGCACAAAAAACATTTTCATTATTCGAATTTTAATTATTTTGAGCACTTTCCTTATCAGTTTTAAATTAACTGTTTACTGCGAACAGATTAATAAGACAGAACATTGTGACTAGCAATATTTGTGAAGTAAACCTTCAAGAATTGCCTCTACAGAGAAGGGGAAATGATTACATGCATACGAATTCATACAAGGACACCTCTCAGTCGGCACTTTTCTTCTTTTTAAAAACAGTGATATTCAATAAAATTAGCTAACCGGTCATAATATCAGTGGGTTCATTAACACCTTCAAATAACTGAAGTCATTTCTTCCATTACGAAATACATAAGTGTAAGCATCAATAAACTGAAAGGGCAATCTTGATATGCTATCAACAATGCTTGTATTGTGTAAGTTTCCAAATATGCACTAGTGTCATCTGTCTATTGTTAAATATCTTAAATATACCTCTTCAAATATGACAACCCACTAATGCTATACTCATATTAAGTCTATTTGTCTGAAATTAGGCACATTAAAAAATTAGCACACATCTTAATTATGTCCAAACAATGCATATCTTGGTGAAAGTACAGATGTCAGGCATAGCATTAATTAATATAGGTCTATAAGTGTGCCAATACTTTCAAGAGGCTCTTGTTGGGGAGCTAGAGTCCAATGTTTGCAGAATGGCAGCAGTACTCGAAGAAATTAAAGCCTCACAATAGAAATGTGAGCCAATATTGTACACATTAACTCTTTGGTTGAAATTTCAGAGATGCGTTTTTCCATTGTGTACTAAAGTACATGTAAACAGAAAACAGCAAACTTGATGAAATCCAGCCCATAATCTATAGTAATGGGCATGTTTAGTAATGTAATGCAGACTGTCATTTATGAAAGACAAAAAATTGACAGATATTAATACTCATGATCACAGTGGCTCAAGAATTGAACAGAGGCCACTTACTTATCTTGATCAAGCATTTTGTTTCAATTCGCTGCGACCTATTTCAAGCTATATGCAGCTTTACCAGCAAAGTCACCCTAAAACCTGCAGTGCAGGTTTTTTTTCTTGTCGTCAGCATTTGTAAACTGTGTAAGGAGTTATAAAACACTACCTCTTTGTGAACCATCCGGCATATTCTTAAAACTTCAAATGAAATTTGCAATCGTTTTGTGACACATGACACCTGTCTCCAGGGCGTCTAAAAATCTCATGGCAATACAAGTCGGAGAAAATGTGTGCTCTGCCTCAAGATGCTGCGAGGTTCTTTCTGTACCGTGTCTTTATGTCTTAACATAATCACGTCTGCAGTGTGGCAATGATGTGCACACTCCACATGCACGGAAATCCATGACACGACATGGTCCATTTGATGTTAACTGCGGCCAAAGTGTGCCACACATCCTTAAAGCCCACAACATTAGCCAAGCAGCACACGTCGCAAGCGGTCGGGGTCCTCTTCTACAGGATCTTGGACCGACGATGGAGAAGCAGGAGAGTCGGCCTGCAGCTGCGAGCTGCAATGCGCAGAGCACAGGTATTGCAACAACGGCAGTCGGTACTTGCCGCAGAAGTCCACAAACTGGATGCGCTCCACGTGACTGTCGAAGTAGACGCCGCCACAGCGTGGATTGACGCAGTGTTGTGCCGAAGCCAGGTACTCGCGCACACTGGCTGGCAGGTAGACGCTCGCCTCGTATGACTTGTGAAGTCCTGCGCGAATCACGCAGCGGGCAGCAAGCTCCCGCAGGCTAGGTGCCCGGTACGTAAGGTCGTGCACGAAGCGGCCGACCAGTGGATTGCCGCGCAAACTCAGCTCAACAAGCTGGCCCAATTGCACCAGTCCAGGAGGCAGCGTGCGCAGCCGGTTGTCATGCAGCGCCAGCGAGCACAGACTGCGCAAGTCGGCTAGCGAGGCCGGCACACTGGCTAGACGGTTGCCATTCAGCCCCAGGCTATGCAGCCGCCACAGTCGACCCAATGACGCTGGCAGTTCTTCAAGTCGGTTGCCACCCAGGTAGAGAGCCTCCAGGCTGCACAAGCGAAGAGCAGACATGTACACATAAACCTTTAGTTAAATGCTCTTGCAACATTGACCTACAGACAATTTGCAGCATGCGTGCACATTAAAGTTCGTAAAACAAAAAGGCGTGAATGGGGAAAGTTAGGAATGAGGAGCAGTCATATCACCCGATTTCCAAAGCATCGCCATGAAGTGCATGGCTGACACCTGCAAGACTATAGTGATGGCAGACACTGCCGAGGGTAGGCAAAAATAAGAATCCACTTTCAGCCCTTTGCAGCACATGCTAATTTTCATAATCAAACTGTCTCGGTAAATTTATCATTCACTCGGAGTGATCCTGTTCATCAAAATTTGGCTATTACAGCACAGTCTTTCACGTGAATTGTGCATTTCTGTTGCTCAACTAAAAGCGAACAACAAGGAATGTTTTTCAACCACCTCATTTTTGAAAGGCTGGACAAAACTAGCTTTCCCTTGAGAATTTAATATACTTCCACCTTTCTTGGGGATAATTCATCGCTAACCAGTGAAGGTGGTCCATCTGTCGGAGCTATTGTGTCACAGGGAAGGTGTGTCATGTTATGTAAATGCAGGTACTGTACATGGCACTCACAAGACATATACATTAACTTGATGCAAACGTCTTCACCACAAATGGCGTACTGCTTTTACATACTTGTTCAAGTAAATTATCTTTCAGAGACGCAACAACAGAAGAAATATGCTCAGTGTATCAGAAGTCGATACTTCAGATTATATAAGGCACATATGTTAACTCTCAAACAAAACCAAAACACCTGCCATAATGCCATTATTTTTCCATTTTCTACCCGTGCATCACAATAATTATCCTATAAAATATTCTGTTCATCGTCTATATCACATAGTGATAGTACAATCTGCAAGAGCGGCACAAGAAAGGTGGAGACAAAATCATACTTAACCTCTTATCACTTACCTCAACAGTTGAAGTGTTGAAAACACGCACATATAGTGGCAACCATTCCCAAAAGTGTTTCGAAATGTAAACTTTAAGTTCCGCAAGTTGAATCAGCAATTTGTGATTTTAAGTTTTTTATGTACTGGGACAACTTGAATGAAACTCCAATTCTATGCTTATGACTGTGTCAAAGCACTCAGTGAGAGACCTTTGAGCGCTCTAATATGGTGATATGCTGTTATCAAATGCGACACGTACGGACAAAGTGTTGCGTGCCAAGTCTGCATTATCATATCGCTGCCTCCGAACACGGTGTGCATGTTCACAACAGGAAGGAGTCAAACTGTGAAGCCTTTAGGACTCAGTAGCCTTGGATGTAGGAACTTAACTCGGGATAATTGCGCTTACTGGGTTTAAAAATTGAGTAAACATCTAATTGTACCTCACTGACAACGGAATTATTCTGTGGTGATCTCATAAGGGTGGTGCCATCAAATTTCGAGGCTATAACAAGCCTCTTGTGGGTTTTCCCTGTATGCAAGGACGCTCCACACGAATGGTTGGACACAGCAAACATTTGGAATATATATTTAAAGAACTTCCAAAGCCTACCTAAATGCTCACTCTCACGACCAAAGCACATCGCAAGCACATCCAGCACCAACGTAGCTCTGTAGAAAGTATTGACATCACACCAGATCTGTAAGTGAGCGTAGATAAGCGCAGGTTTCCCCATAGAGACGGGACAAAGAATAATCGCAGATGCCCCCTTCCCATTGTGTCAACTTATGGGGCTGATTTTGCACCACACCAGCCATGAAGTAGAATGATGCACATGGAAACAGAGAATAAAAATGCATTTATGAAATCCAGAATATGCATACCTTGCTGCAGATTTCCTCGTTAAATATCTAAAAATGGCCGATTGCCAAGCTACTGACATATTCTTGATGGATGCACTGACAACAATATTGCTCTAAATTAACAGCAAGATGCACAGGTCAATAACATTGCAAGTGATGTAATACATGGGTGTGCCTTGCCACAGCATGCAGAAAACTTGAGCCATCTAGTTGATTGGGATAAACTCATAGTTTAAAAAAAAAAGATAAGAGAGAAATGCGTCTGAAGCCATCATTTGGAATAAATTCTGATACAAACCCTTCATTTCTACACCCACTTCTTGCATCACATTTTGAAGCTTTTATAAACATACCTTTCCCATGTACTCTTTTTCATTGTGAAGAAGGCCCCCATCAGGGGAGCCAAAACGTCATTTGATAATCTTGCTGTTCCTCTTTTTATGATGGAAGTGCTGCTCACATAATAATTTCTTGTCACTCAACACCCGACAGTCAGCAGCATATCTATGCCCAACAATGTCTTCTGTACACTGTATATATTTCGACAGTACGTATCTGATATCACGGATGTGCTTGCTTCGCTATCTGGCACTTTCCTCTCTGTTCTGAAGCTCAACGGTTCTGCTAACCGACAGTCAGCAGCATATCTATGCCCAACAATGTCTTCTGTACACTGTATATATTTCGACAGTACGTATCTGATATCACGAATGTGCTTGCTTCGCTATCTGACACTTTCCTCTCTATTCTGAAGCTCAACGGTTCTCCTAACGAGTCTTCAAACAAGCAGCAAGCACCCACTTAAAGCCAGCTAGTGTGGGTCTTGGGTAATCTTCCTAGCAGAATACTGGAGTGTATTCCGAACCAAAGTCAGACTTGAACACAAGCCTGGCCATGGCCTGAAAAAAGTAAGCCAGGCTTTACCTCAGCCTGTGCACCTCTCCGGTGTCACATATTTGCTGAAAACCATAACACTGTTTGAACATTGGCACATTGTTGATGATGATGTGTGGTGCTTTGTGGTGCAAGGGCCAATTGATGGCCAAAGAGCGCCATTTCGATGAGTAGAGATGAGACAATGATATGTTGCGTGGCTGTATAGGGGCCTTAAAATTCCTCGCGATAATGCGGGTAAAGACATAAGTATTAAGATCATGACAGTGGCATGATATGCATATTAAAAGGGGTGACAAAGATTTTGATAATAAAAACATGTAAAAATATTTGGCACTAGCACACGTGCCTCATCAGCGCCCTTGTGTCCAAGGGCTGCGAGGCAAGTGCTTTTAAATGTAATCACTGCAGCAGCAACCTCTCTTGAGAGGTCACGCTACGCAATGCCTGGGTATATTACATAGTAAAAATTGACATCTCTTAAAAAAGCTAACAATGATTTATGGGTGAAAAGTGGTTCCCTACCGACAAACATTGCGGGGTGTAACGGTATATGTTGTCGGTAGGGTAATGGAAAGTGTTGTCTTCTTAGAGTGTCTAACTGTTTACATTGGATTAAAACGTGAAGAACTGTCAATGCCTCACCACAATTGTCACACAGTGGTGGATCACCACCGGACAAAAGATGTGCGTGTGTCGTGTATGTGTGTCCTATCCTGAGTCTTGTTAGTGTTACCTCTGTTAGACGAGATTTTGATACTGGTCGCCAATGGCCAAGGTGTGGCTTGATAACGTGTAGTTTGTTTTGTGTGTGTTTATCCCACTTGCTCTGCCAGTAGTCCCTGAGGTTTCGTTTGAGAGACGGCTTCAGATCAAGGACCGGGATTGATATGGGTGTAGGGGCAGTGTTTTTGTGGACGGATGCAGCGAGCTGATCCGCCCTCACGTGGCCTTGGATCTCACGGTGTCCTGGCACCCAGCACACTACAACATGTTGGTTGAGTGTGTAGAGTGTGCAAAAAATGGAGTAAAGTGAGACAAGGACAGGGTTTTTTTTGTTTTTTAAGACTGTGCAGAGCCGTTACCACACTGAGGGAGTCTGTATAAATTGCTGCTTGTTGTATTTGTAATTGTTTCATGTGTTTAGCTGCCACAAGTATCGCGTAAGCTTCCGCTGTGAAGATACTTGTGCCTGGATGTAGAGGGCCAGCATCCGAAAAGGAAGGGCCAACAGCAGCGTAGGACACAGAGGAGTTGGTCTTAGAGGCATCTGTAAAGAACTCACGACGTGTGTATTTGTGTTGAAGTTCCAGGAAATATGTTCGGATATGGGCAATGGGCGCATGTTTTGTAACTTCTAGAAAAGACACATCGCAGTCTATAGTCTGCCATTGCCACGGTGGCGGGTATGCTACAGGAGCCATTAAACTGTGTTCAAGTGAGACTCCAGTTTCCTCAGCTAGACTCTTCAGGTGAACTGAGAAGGGCTGCCTCATCGAAGGCCTGTTTTGAAACAGAATTGAGCTCGACAAATCATTAATAGTAGAGTATGAGGGGTGCTTCTAGTCTGCTTTTACCTTAAGGAAATAAACGAAGGACATGTAAGTTCTCTGCAGATGAAGCGACCCCTCATTTGACTCAACATAAAGGCTTTCTACGAGGCTGGTGCGAAAAGCACCCGTAGAAAGGCGGATGCCCAAATGGTGCACGAGGTCCAGCATCTTCAAGGCACTTTGAGTAGCAGACTGATAGACAACGGCCCCATAATCTAAGCGGGTGCGAATGAGGCTTCTATACAGGTTCATGAGGCATTGCCTGTCACTACCCCACGTAGTACGTGACAACACTTTTATAACACTCATGGCTTTTAAACATTTTGTTTTTAAATACTTGATGTGTGGTAGGAATGTCAACTTGTTGTCCAAGATTAAGCCTAAGAATTTATGCTCCGCATTGACAGACAGACGTTGACCGTTCAGTTCAATGTCAGGTTCTGAGTGCACGCCTCTCTTTCGGGAGAACAAGACACACGTGCTTTTTTCTGGGTTCAGCCGGAATTCGTGTTCCTCTGCCCATTTGGAGAGCTTGTTTAAACCTAACTGAACCTGCCGCTCACACATTGCTAGGTTGAATGACTTAAAGCCAAGCTGGACGTCATCGACATATGTGGAATAGAACATGTTGCGGGGGATGGACAGGTGCAAGGAATTCATTTTAATAATAAAAAGTGTACAACTAAGTACACCACCTTGCGGTACTCCCGTTTCTTGCACAAATGTTTGGGAGAGAGTACTGCCCACACGGACGCGG